CGTATTCTTGCCCCCTGGGATCAAGAGCCTTTCCACGTCAAGGATGCGATAGACGAGACGATGCTTGTAGCTGGTCCAACCCGGAGCCATGCACTCGTCTGTGACTGGCTTCCCGTTGATCCAGGCTTCGAAGACACCCAAGGATGTGATGTACAATCGAGCTGAAGAGGATCTGAGATCGAGCTCCTGGGGTAAGATGAAGTCCTTGCGGAAGCGAATAGGTCTCAAAGGGCCATAAGGTCCAATTTGCTCTGCCGCGGTGATGAAGTTGGCTCTGAAGTCGTCTTTCTTCAGCAGCGCAGCTTCCACAGTTGCTGGTTCAGACCACGCGCTTGGCTCTTCTTTGGCGTAGGACTCTTCGACCAGGCTCTTCCCATACACCCGCACTCGAACTATCGCAGCTTCGCGAGAAGATAGGTCTCTTGCTGGCCATGGCACAAGCACAGATTGGTCGCTGACCTCGGGGAAGCTCTGGGGCTTCTCGTCAGAAGCAAATTTGATCTCAATCTCGTAAGAAGTCTGGACCCAGCCAGCGATGGTCTCTTCGGTGCTTTCGAATCGCCATGAGATCCTTGGCCTTGATGTTGCTACACCGAGGCCACTGTGGTGGTGGTCAAAGACAGGCTTCGTGATTGCTGGGCAAGACATGGTTTGTTGTGTGCAACTAGGCTCTGGCATTCATCAACCCATGCATTTCAATGAATCTGGATTTCGAGAGGTGAAATAGACTCAACAAAACCATTGCGGTCTAATGGCCCCCGTGCTTGGCAGGTTCCGGCTCAAAGAGGCACCGATTCGGTCTCGATTTGGCACGAGGTCATGATCATCGCCGCGCGGTAAACTGCCGGTATCCCAGGGGCGGGAATGTACGTATCGGCAACGGCAGCGGTTCCGACGCAGCCAAGTCTTTCATCGACCACTCACGAGACGTTCATGATGTGGGATTTCGAGGCTTATGCGGAGACTCCACGCCCCCGCATGCTCTAGCTCCCCAGTCGTTTGAGCCAGCTCAGGGAATCTGCCGAAATGAGTCGGGGCAATCATGGTTACTAGACGAGTTCGTCATGACTGCTGCGTTCTGGCCTCCTGTTTGGCAGCATCTTTAAGGCGTAAAGCCGAGTTTATCGGTGTACCTTTGCACCGAATATGTGGCAAGGTAGATAGCCATTTTGATATAGAAGATAATCATGCCCCGGATTTCAACTTGCATAATGGAACCACAGTTCCCCAGATTTGTCTTGACCCCACACATCCCTACTGTCAGTATTTTCGTGACTTTGGTATGGGTTTCCTCATCGTCGCTGTGGCGCTTGTCGCCGCTCAGGGTGGTTTCATCTATGGGTTTGACTCTGGTTCGCTTCCAACTTCTTGGGTCCAGCTGCTCAGGCAATACTGACTCAATTTAGGAATTATCGCCACGACCTTTGGCCATGACAGTTTCAAGCTCAAGATGTATGGACCGTCTATGGTCAACACTAGCTATCAAGGTAATATTATCCACTCAACCCGGGAACATTCCATTTGGCATGGGGGCGCCGCTGACTCTTTGTCTTCACAGGCGCCATCGTATCGGTCTATAATGCTGGTCAAGCCATCGGAGGAATGACAGTAGGCTACCTTGCCGACAAGCTTAGTCGAAAGTACACGATTCTTCTTGCTTCGATCTTGAGTTAGTTCTCCCCGCTCGTGGCAAAGCATATACCATGGATGCGTTCCTGATGTTTTAACAGCGGTCATTGGCTCTATACTCCAATGTGCCGCCGTCCAAGTTGGCATGATGATAGCAGGCCGTCTTGTGGCTGGCATCGGCTGTGGTCAACTACTCTCGGTTGTTCCCATCTACCTTGCCGAGGTTGCGCCTCCAGCGCGTCGTGGCTTCCTTGTCGGACTTCAGGGAATGATGATAGCCATAGGCTTTGGCGTTTCTAATTGGGTATGTGCATGTATACATCCTATTTCTCTCTCATACACTGACCGTCTTCGAGGTTGGCTACGCAGGTGCATTTGCCATGGGAGACGGCCAATGGCGGATTCCACTGGCAATGCAGCTTCCCATTCCTGTTCTTCTCTCTGTGATGGTCTTCTACGTACCGTTCTCGCCCCGTTGGCTTATACTGCGCGATCGATACGAAGAAGCGAGAACCGTCCTGGCGAACCTACATGGGGCTGCGGACAACGATGATCTGGTTGGACGCGAACTCATACAAATCCGTGAGCAAATTCTCCTGGAGAGGTCTCAGGGCAACATGGACTGGATGACGGCCTTGCGCGCACTGTTTTCCAGAAAGTACGTCCGCCGTACACTCACTGCCGCATTCATCGTCACCATGGGACAGCTCAGCGGCTCCTCGGTCATACAGAACTTTCAGAACATCTTCTACGCCACTGTCGGGTTCACTGGTAGAACGGCGCTGCTCATCAGTGGTGCCTACGGCATGATGGGAATTCTGGGTCAGGTCATCTACCTCTTCGTCGTCGCAGACCGCTGGCCACGAACACGTACTCTATGGAGCGGTTCTCTGGTGTTGAGTGCCATGATTGCATTATGCATGGCTCTCAGCGCAGTCTATGGTAACAAGAATAACGACAATGAGGCAGGAGCAAGGGCGGCCATCAGCGCCATCTTCATCTACTCCATGTGTTACGCCATTTTTTTCAATGCCATGATCTGGGTTGTTCCATCGGAGCTGTTCCCTTTCTTCCTAAGAACGAAGGGTCTGGCATTTGCCGTTGCTGCCAAGTCTGTCACAGCAATCGTACTCTCGCAAGTCACCCCGCTGGCTATCGCCTCCGTTAGCTGGAGGTACTACTCACTTTTCATCGCAACAAACCTAGCGGCCGCTGTCTTCTACTTCTTCTTCCTGCCAGAGACTGTGAGTCATATCATCAAGTAGCACGCGATCTCTTGCTAATCTTTGGCAGTCCGGGAAATCCTTAGAGGAAATTGCGGAGCTATTCGGAGATGACCTAGCAACAAACCGCCTGGGCGAGCTGGACGTGGACGCGAAGAATGGAATCGGACCAGAGGCGGAGCTTCATGAATTCGCCGAGAGGCGATCTCAGGTTTGAAAAGTTCAGACGACAAGTACATCGTAGTGTTGCGGACGCCTCTTCACACCTTGTGAGAGCACAAAACCGTGTCTAGCACATGAAGTATCCCGTAAACTAAGTGTATGCAGTAGGTAGCTCATCAGAGCCATCTACTAAGCCTTGGCCTTGCAATTTTAAGAAGTCGAGCCCACCTGCAGTCACTAGTACTGCTCCCTATGTGATACCAATGATTAAGGCAGGCGACTGCAGAACTCACTGCCTCATAGACTTGGCTACTGAGGTTGATTGAGAAAACAGAAAAGAGTCATTAATAAGACAGAACGTTAATCCTTAGATCTGGGTAAAACAGGAAGCTGTTACTCAACTTCAATCTCTTAACTCCTTCAAGTTGCTAACCGCTGGAACATCGACCGAGAAGACCGTTGATTCGGTGACAAGTCCGATACTCCCCGCGATCTCATTGCCGCGAACCATCGAGTTCATCGCTGCGGGGCCGTAGATCATGCGGGGTGTAAGCGTTGCCACCCGGGCTTCTTCCCGGTGAGGAGGTGCATCCCCGGAGAGAGTTCGGAGAAAGGTCAAGTTGAAGGAAAGCCCATGATGCTTATGTCACCATTGAAGATCAGTACTACTTAGTGTTAGGGTAGGAACATGTGGATAGCATAAAGTTTAGGATATCTGCTGAATGGGCGCGTTTGAATCACTTCAAGACGTAGACGAATCGTTGGAGAAATTTCCTGTTCCAGACATCGTACAGCATACACATTTAAAATCGCACTATGGCGTCTAAAGCGGATCACATCCTCATAACCGGGGCCGCCGGTTTCATTGGCCAGGAGCTCATCACCGCCCTCCTTCTCTCATCGCCTTCCATTCATCTCACAACAACAGACATAACAACCCCTCCCATTCCGCCACAAGCTCTCTCTCACGCATCTCGTGTGACATCACTTCAAACAGACCTCACTTCATCGGAGGCAGTCGCTTCTCTTCTTACGAGTCACTCGCGTTTCGACGCAATCTACCTTCTCCATGGCATCATGTCTGGAGGCGCGGAAGCGAACCTGGAACTAAGCCTTGCCGTAAACCTCGACAGCCACCGCGTAATCCTCGATGCCTTGCGCCAAGAAGCATCTCCGCATCGTGGATCTGTTGTGGTATTCCCCAGCTCATTGGCAGTCTACGGTCCTGCGGCACCGGGCCAGATCAACACCGAGACAACTTGCCCGATTCCCCAGTCTTCGTACGGCGCCCAGAAGCTGATAATCGAGACGCTTCTGGGAGATTACTCACGCCGTGGGCTGCTAGATGGACGAATTGTGCGGTTACCTACCATCATCGTCCGTCCGGGCGCCCCAAGCGCGGCGGCTTCCTCCTTTGCTTCGGGCATTGTGAGGGAGTCGCTCAAAGGTGAGGGAAACATCTTACCAGTGAGGCCGGAACTACCTATGTGGGTGTGCTCTCCGAAGACGGTGGTCAAGAATCTGGTGGATGTCAAGGGCATTCCTCATGAGAAGTTTGGGATTTCTAGAGTTCTCAACTTGCCCGGCGTTACTGTCACCGTGGCGGACATCCTAAATGCGCTAGAGGTTGTCGGAGGTACAGAGGCTAGGAAACTGGTGCGCGAAGAGAGAAGCCCGCAGATTGAGGCGATCGTCGGTAGTTGGCCGGCTTATTTCGATGTTTCGAAGTCCCTTGGCCTCGGCCTTTCTCAGGATGAGGACCTGATAACCACAGTCAAGGACTTTGCAGATAGCCTTCGGGCTGGTGTTTAGATAGCTTCCTTCCCGATGAGTGGATGTTCAATCTGATGGCATTTTCTGCACATAGTGCATTTCTGAGAAGATGAGCATGGAATCGAGAAGTTGCTTTGACATAGACAAGAGAAACATAGAAGAAAATAGATCAAATATACATGCCGCGGTATTTTCGGTGTCGGCTCTTAACCCTCATCGCCCAATTCCAAACAGTTCGCCAAAGACAGTTGTCCACCTCAACCTTTTAGTCTTCAACATCTCAACCCACTCAGGCAGCAAATCATGCAAGTGATGAAGATTCGCCTTGCGCCAGTACCCCGCCTTCTGGTTTCTACACGACAGAGACGTACTTTCCCAAGCACTGGTGTATAAGTAAACAATCCACATGACGTCTAAAGAGGTCATGCCAAACTTCTCGGCCTCATGGCCAAGATTACCAAGCACTCGCTCGAAGAAATCGTCCCAAAAGGAGGCATCTGGCTCGGGATCATCGTCTCCAACGGTGTCATGTCTCAGTCTCATGACTTTGGGTTCGATGCCTTCTTTGAGCTCTTGGATGGAGTAATCAAACACGTCGACCAACTTTTTGGCTACACAATCGAAGGGCTCTAACTTTCTATAGTATTCACCCCATGAGAGATTGAGATTGAAGTCTTTGGGTTGAAGATAGTAGAGAGCCGCAGAGTGTTCAGGTGGGATGAGGCCCGGGATATCGTCAAACGTGAGGCCTGGGATGCGCAAGTAGTTCTGCGGCGCATGAAGCCGCTTCAAACTATTCATTGACCCGGTATCTGGCGGGGTAGATTCATCCGATGACGGTTTTGAGGTCATTGCTTAGGACTGAAGTGACTCTGATATGCTAGTTTGTTGATGTTCTTGAAGCAGGCGTGATGCTCATTTCCAAACTGATGATGATTGAGTTTTCGAGTGATGATTTCCTTGCCCATTTGTATTAATTTTGATAACTGAGTTGAAACTCAAATTTTATGTGTCGTTTCCATAGCTCACTATTCAATGACAAAGCCATAAATACTCCCTTGGGTTTCCAAAATGGAGATGGGACAAGCTGGATTCTGAACTATGTGGTGAACTCGACAAAGCACCATCCCCTTTGAAGAATTGGTTCTTACAAAAATCTGGGTAAGATTGAAAAGATACTCCATTCGGAACAAAATCATTGTACCGCCGTAGCGCCGGGAATGGACTGTGATAAGCTGTCTGATGGCTGCGAACACCACTTCAGTTTAAGCCCAGCCTACTTTCACCACCAACCCAACTTAGATCCCTGCTTGCAGCTTGCTCCTCCAATCCTCAACCCCCTTAAGAACGGGCCTAGGGCTTCCATCATACCCAGTCTTTCGCATCCACTCAGCCAGGCTCCGAATCCGACCAGGATGAATTCGATCCAACAACTCCAAGTCCCTCTTATTGACGATGCCCTCTCCCCAGAACCGCCACCACGCCCCAAAGTTCTGTCTCCAGGTCATATCCGACTCGTCCCGAGCAACCTCCGGGCCGACGGAAAAGTTTACATAGGCACCCGGGTACGGCTCCGCGAGCGGCGCATACTCCTCAAACGGCACGCTCTTGTGGATACCCTTCTTTCCTGTCACCTCAGTGAAGATTCTCGCAATGTCAGCGAAGCTGACTTCGTCGGTCGTCACTTCCAGGTTCAGACCCGCGGACTCATTGAGGTTGTCAAAGAGCCAGAGACTGTAGATGCCGACGTCTTCGAGAGCGATAAGCGGGATTTTGCCATCCTCTGTAATATTATTAAGTTGGTGCTCAAGACATCGTGGTAATGATGTGACTTTGGGATTGTTACGTACTGGCAGGGTTAACCCAGAGAAAAGAACCATCCGGTTGCTCTGTCGGCGGAAACATTCCATCCAAGAGCATGTCCATGTAGGGACCTGTCGTGAGAACGGAGCTCTTCATGCCGTCCTGGCCTTGGGCCAAGATGAAATCCGTGACTCTTCCTTTAGAATCGTTGTGACCCCAATGGTACTTCTCGTTCCCTGTTCAAGCCAATCAGCAACGCAATTCAACAGCTCGAATGAGAAAAAAGAAGCCCTCAAGTGTTGCTTACATCCCGACTTCTTTAGCGCATAATCGGTGCCAGCCCAGACGTAATGCTGAACCCCTTCGTGCCTGGCAATCTCATACGCGCGGATACCATAGAAGAGCTCACTCTTCTGGCCCAGCGTGAAGCCGTCCGTGTTCACCCATGCGCCGTAGACACCCTTGAACGCCCGGTGGAGATCCTGCTGGCTGTCTTGTTTACCCTGGATAAGGGTGACGTTGGGCAGAGCGGCAAGCTCCTTTGCGCGGGCGTTGTCGACATTACGGGTGAGGACCCTGACGCTGTATCGCCTGGTTTCGGCAAGAGCTGTGAATGATGTTAGAGTGACGTGCGGATTTGGTTCTGTCGAGAACGATGAAGTTACCCTTGACGACTGGTCTTCCCTGGGCACCGGTGCCGCCGATGACGAGGATTTGTTTCAACTCGGACATGGTTTAGAATAGATGATTGCTTTGAATGATTGTTTTGATGATCGTGTTTGGTAATAATGTCAATCAACTCAATGATGGTGACACTCATTATTCCTTATATACATCCATCTTGAACAAAATGGCCTTGGCTTGCGGTCGATGCCTCCCTTCTACAAGCCCCAAAGATCAGACTGTCATGATGATGAAGTTAATGATTAACAAGCCAAGTCCAAGATTTACAATCTTTTGGAGATGACTAATTATTATCAGTTTCCATGTCCTGAAGTCGCCGTCTCTTGTGTAATAACAAGCCTTGATGGCTATTCTTGAGAAGACGTGGCAGGACTGACATAATTCCCCCGGTGTCGTCTTTGTCATGGTCTTTGGATCGCAGCCCACTCGGGAGCAGAATTATGTGCACATGTCAAGCGCAGATGTATTGTACGCTTCAGCTTCCAATTTATTGATTAATGATCAAAGGCAGGTTTCGACCTCTATTATGACATAAGTTGGCGAGAAACGCGGGATGAGTAATCATTCAAGACCAAGACTCGATGACCGCTGGCCATGGCTTCGGATCTCTGAGTTGGTTGATTTAGATCTCGGGGTGGGAACAATCAAAGTATTCAACCAAAGAAAGGTTTCCATTATCACATACTGCTCGTGGGATTGCTGCTGCTCTTGAATCTAGATTAGCGGACTTCCCCAGCTTGTTGCGTACAACCTGGCCTCGATATCTACGATGTTATCTTTACCCAGATAGGATACGCACCGTCAACATCGTCTTGAGGCATACGCCACTCATTGAAAGATAGAACATCTGTCTTATATGAATAGCTTAGAGGGTCAATCGTTATAAGGCACCTTAACGAGGTTGGACGAGGGAGTAAAAGGATTAAGTCTCGACATACGGCTTTCAAATAACGTACCTTCAAATAACGTACCTGATGTTTCTTCTACTCACCTACGCAGTTCAGCAACATGGCCCTAAAGGTACGGAACTCATACAACCGACGCACATCGATGCGACCTCAATCTATCCATACGGTAAACCTGACCTCTCTACCACTCCATCGCGTCTTGGCAGATCAAAGATCACTGCGCCTACGCAAACAAGTGCAAGGAGTAATAAAGAGCAATGGGACAATGAATGATGTACAGAGGCGCAGCCGAGTGACGTATCCTCCTCTCAATGCTGACCTTGCATCTCTAGCTACTGCTGCCTAAAGACTCTAAAGCAAATACTGCTGCCTATCACTACCTTTTCGCGGGCCGACTCATTGGCAGACTCTCAAGACGCGGGCTATGCGATATCATGTCTCGGAAATTCGGGTATTGGGAGGGTTCTGTGGTGGTCCCCAGAGCGAAAGCGAAGTCAGGAACCCTACTGACGGTGTAGCTAGCTAGCTAGATAGAGAACTTTGGCAGCACGTCGCGAGCAAGAGCAAAGAAATGGCTTCAGCTTTGGGCCTTCAGACGATGTAGTTCACGGCCATCTTGGCATAACCACAGGTACTCTCCGAATCATTCTCCTCAAGACTCCAAAGACATAACGTTCTCATAATTCAGAATTTGGCACAAGGGACTGCCAAGAAACAACTCTCATATCCTCATCTCGATGACTCTACCATAAAGGCCCGAATCCATCACCTCAAAGACCGGATCCCGGCCCCGTCGGTCACCGCTTCTCGCAGCTCCAGCAGGCAAACAGGCCATACGCCGCACGGATATCTCGGCTTGGCAAATGAAGTCGGGCAGCGGGTACAGCCCTTTTGCTCCCAGGATCAGCCGGGCGCCAAAGAAGTCCTGCAGGGTCAGCGAACAATGTCCCGAAGTGGCCTACACTCATTCAAAAAAGCCAATGACATGGTGTACACGTTATACAGACAGTTGATCCTTTGCACGTACAATCGAATCGGATCTCCCTAGATCCACCGGATACGAACAAGCGACATGTCGCGGGAGCTTAAAAAATGGACATTTCATCAATGCGGGTGTGGCGGAGCTTCGGAGAATAGACAAACAAACAGGATAGATTTTCATTATAAGTGCTAGTTCGGCACACACGGGATTGACCCAGGGGCATAGTGTGCAAAGATATAAAAGGAGGCCATTATTCCTTTCCCAACGCCTCTGCGATGCTTTAAATGGACGACTCGTTTAAAGAGATCTTGATTCCATGTCTTTTTGACGCGCCTTTCCCACACAACCAAACCTCTACCGGACAGCAATGTTCTTCATGCGGCCCGTTGTCGGTACCGGCTTCTCCAGTCTCAAGGCCCAAAGCAACATGTCCTCAGCGGGGAGGAAAACCAGCAAGGCACGATTGCAGAGGTACGCAACCAACGCGCAAAAGGTTGCGACGAAGGCGTCCATCAGGTAATGATTGGCGGTGCCCACGATTGTCAACAGAATCCAACTCGGGTAGAAGACACCGAAGCAGAACATGGCCCAGCTCTTCCAGCGTGCGCGGTTCTCTTGGATCTCCTTGAGCTCGACGTCATCAATATCCAGCGACTTGTCCAAGTCGTTGCGAAGCAGGTAGTTCCTCAAGCGACCGAAGAGGAGGTTGAGGATAGCCGAGTCGGCGATGAAAACACAGCCAATGGCGAAGGCGTAGCCGAAGTGCATAGAGGGCATTGCAGCCAGCTTGTTGACGAACTTGCCGCTCATCCAGACACTCTCGGCGTTCTCGAGGTTGACCGTGTCGACGAAGCCGTACTCGGAGGGCATCAGACGGGGCGGCGCGCACGGGTAAAAGATGAAGATGATGAAGGCACACATGTTCAACAAGGTCATTGTGCGGCGGACAGTGCAAAAGCGGGCGTGGGTGGGAGCCATGGCGAAGTAGTAGGCAATGAAGCCGACGGTACCAGGGATATGAATCAGAGAGTATCCGCGGTTCAGGATCGTGAGCCAAATGCCACGGAAGTCGTCGATTTGAGCACCCTCGAGGAACCAATGGGAAACGCGCCATTCAACCCAGCGCTCGGGACCAGTTCTGGTACCCTCGCCGAAGAACTTGGCCTCGGTCTCGAGAAGAAACAGGCCGTGCTCCTGGGCGACATCCCAGACAGCCTTTCTGCTGCCGTAGTAGCTCTGAGCCAGAGTTGCGGTCATGCGGTAGAAGAAGAAGGAGATGGCCCAGTAGAACATTTCGATGAGGAAGGGAAACTTTTGCAGAATTCTCGAGTGAACGTGTCTCGCAAAACGGCTAGAGTTTGGGGTTTTGACGCGATAGCATCCAAAGATGGTACGGTATTTGGGCGGAAAAGGATCGGTCCGGATAGGATCGTAGGACTCGTCGGAGATGCGGGGTGAGTCCCCTCTCTCTTCAAATAGAGGTTCATATGTCGCGTTTCCGCGGCGGAGGATCGAGTAGTTCTTTCTACGACTGACGTACAAGCCGATGAGCATGATGGATACAATCAGCTGGTGCTGGTGGTTAGCCTTGAGGAATCGTATGACGTGGAGCTGCGGCTGCGGTGGTCTAGCAGCGAAGTGGCCGTGATCCTTACAATTGGTTCTACCCAGTCCGGAGTTCTCCATGTGTGTACTGCCTTCCAGCCGCCTTCAGGAGTGCCATACGGCAATTTGCCGCTAGGAGGCTTCACGTCGGCCATGATGTCTAAGTTGCGCGGGGATCCAAAAGTGTTGTAGGAGTGAGTATTCCGTTCCTCTTAGAGTGTCGTGTGCTCGTCCTGCAGTGGTTTGAATCGGCAAAGGACAGCCGTCGGGAATCAGATCGGGTCGTTCTTGAAGTCGGAAAGTCTAATCGCTCGAAACAACAAGCACATTCAATGCAATCGGGACGTCGTGTGGCTGGTCGTGATGATGTCGTCGTGCGTAGTGAAGTACTCGTGCCTGTTTCGGGGCTAGACTTGTTGGTGGCCGTGTATCTTCCTTCAGTCGGGAGGATTGTGAATCTCGATGCCGACTTTCTGGTGTAACAGCGTCAGACAGCGAATGGTAGACAGACACTGATCATGCGACCGACTCGAAGAGTTCTCGAAGAGAAAGGGGAATAGGAAGGAAAACAAGATGTTGAGGAAAGGGGACGAGAAGCGGCCGACGGGGGGTGCAAGCAGCGACTCACGAGCGGCGTAGTAAGAAGCGGGCTCCGCCGTTCATTTAAACGGATGGACCATTTTTTCGGTAGGAGTTGACGGTAGGCTGGCTGAGCGAAACACACAGCAAAGCCAAGCAAAGCAAGAAAGGGCGGATTTGGCTCGCGGGCAACGCGTAGTTGTCCAGTGAGTAGCAAGAAGGTGGGAACACACGGCAACAGTGGGTGCGATGCCAAGACTTTTGGGTTTCTCATCTTTTGCGCTGCATCCCTGCTGCTTTGCGTATACGCAGTACGTACTTTTTCCTTCGTACGGATACATGTAATTCGTACCTGCCCCATAGTAAGGCACTTCGGTAGGTAGCCTGTAGGAGAAGGAGAGCCTGGGCATGTGCAAATCAGGCAATTGTTCATGTCGCTCCTTGCTTCGCTTGGCCCAGGGGGGCTCTAGGCTCTTTCCTGCAGAGGGTCAGACTCGCGTGCAGCTACCTCAATTCGCACCTGCTGCGTGTGCTGCTTGGATACGTACACACAGTCCGTCCCCTTCAAGATGGAACGGAGTGCTGTTTCGGGAAGGTTATCGTGTGTGGATGAAGGTACGGGGCAGGTGCAAATCTCGGGTTTCTGCTCACCGTTCCTCGGGCCCTTCCCCATCCCCCATCATCATAAACTCTCGCAGCCTCAAACCTGCCTTCCTGACTGCCAGGTTCCATGGATTCCCTCTATGACGGTACCTACCTTACCGTTGCGGCGGGAAGCTCAACTCTGTCTGGACCTTCCCTCGCATCCCCGAGAATGTAGTCTGTCGTTGGTTTTCTGGAGATTGGAAGTTTTGAGATTTACGATACCTACTACCTAGGTGCCTAAGTATAGCTGAGCAGAGTGCCATGATTCAGAGCAGGTACGAAATAAGGTACTCTCGTACCTCCTCTGTCCCATTGCGCCTGGTGGCCTGGGGGCCACGCGTCTTGGCGCCTTCCATGGCCATCGCTCCATCCTCCGACCCCTGCCCAGTGCCCGCCCACTCCTTCCTTCACGGCGGACTGCGTACCTAGCCCTTGCACAGCACAGCCATCATTCGTCAAGCCTCCTCCCGTCCTCCCGTACAGAGAACTGTTGATGACGAAGTGCCCATACGGAGTATGCGTACGGGGTAGGTACCTGCCTCACTATTTGCGGTAATTGCATCCTGCACAGCTTTTCGGCATTCTGATCCTCTTACGTTCTGCCAGCTCTACAGAGTAACATCTTACTCCCCTTACTCACCAGTCACCGCATCATCACTTCGGCACGTCAACGGATGACTGACTTTGTTTGGTCCGATGTTGCTGTTACTGCTGCCCTTATTCGCAATTACTCACGTACCCAATATTGGTCTTTGCCAGCTCTTGGATGCCCTCGACCATCCCTAGACCACAGATCACCATCCATCCGGACCAAGAACCATCACCACCACCTACCTACCTTAGGAACGCACTCAGCAGGACCTTCAGGCTTCGGCATTGCCTCGCTGTCATGTGTCACTGTCGTCGTTGAAAGACGGTCAACAGAGTTCTGGCGGGCGACCAGTTGCTGTCCCTCTGCCTCGCTCTAGCCCCAGACGCCAGCCACAACCTTGTTGCCCATCTGCCGTCATCCTCTCCAATCATCAGGCACCCCCGGCACCCATCTCTCCAAAGGATTAGCCACTGTAGGTAGCTAGGCTGAAAAGCTCTGCAGGCGCACTCAGGCTTGAGGATGCCGTTTTGTGCGCCACAAGAAACCCATCTCAGTTGGTTTCGCAAGCAGTCAAGCACATCGCACCAATTTGCGAAACCCTTGTCAGATGAGCGACGCTATCTGTCCTGCTTTTTTTGCTCCGAATCCCGACAGCGGCTACTTTAGCTCCAGCGGAATGAAGAAAGAGCAGGGGAAAAGTGGTGGTCCGTCGGACAACGAGCATCGCCAGCCGAAGAGGAACCGTCAAGCCCCGTAACGCTATTCGCGTGCTAGCTGTCTTGGCACGCCCGGTTGTCTAAGGCTCCAAGCCATTGCAGTCTTTGCAAACCAGATGAAATGTAACTTCTGACAGCATCCCGCGCGCCTCGCTTCTCTTCTGGTTCTACGAAATACAGTTCCAAACTCTCAGCACTTACATAATGGCAGTTGAGTCCCGGGTCCTTCGTTGGCTGGGTTGCGTTAAAGGCCCAAACCCAGACTGCAGTCAAGCTGAACTACGGAGTACCTACCTACATAAAGTACTGCGTCTCCAAAGTCACATTCACATCCTTTCCAACAATCGAGCCAAGCAGGACGATGCGCCGGTCCTGCTGGCTGCAAGGCCGAGGACACCATTGAACGGATACTGTGCTGGGGACCGACCAACGACTTGTTTCCTCAGTCTCATCTGTGATCGCCGGCCCTATTCAAGCTTGAGACAAAATCTCAGCATGCCACCATTGAATTCCTCAGCCGGGCCTAGGTCGGCGACCACCACAATCTGGGATCGGCATAGTCAACTGACAAGCTTAAGCAGTGGCGCTGGGAAGCCCAGGCCTAAGCTAAGCTGTTCGCAACCATCCCCACATGGAACCGGTGGTCAGCACCTTGCCAGCGATGAGGATTTTGCCCGTCACCGTCGTATCGCCTTTCCATCGACTGATCTAACCATTCACGAGCTCCTCTATCCGTATAATTATGGGACTAGAGAAATCGCACGCGACTCCTTGCACCTCTCTTCCTGAATTCGCAGCAGCCACAAGGGGTCACACACACACACACACACACACATCAACGCTATCATTCAGCGCACTCGCGACAGCCCTCTATCAACCCGACAGGGCTCGATCGACCATCCTCCCATCTGGCAGGCTAGCCCAGTGCCAATCTTGTCAGTGCCTATTGTCATATTTCGTCTCAAGTTCTACACCCGACAGCCCTCAGTACGCAAGGTATGGGGGAAGGCCGCCGGTAGTCAGGGTTTCTGAAAGCAGGAGGAATTGTTTTCACCGGCATCCATCCGCCTTGGCGTTGCAAATGGCTGGGGTTCAGACATGACGGCATATTAATGAAACCACCTCACTTTTCTGGATCCAGGAAACACACATGCGACGGATTAAACATCTGTTGCCGGACTCTCAGATTGACATCGAGACCAGATGAAAGAAAAACAAACCTATTCCGCTGCCGAGGGACTGTGGTGAAGATTTGAAAATCCCTTCCAACCAACAAACCAAGGTCTATTCTAGGGCGAGGATATTCTGCCAGCAGCTCCTGCTATTCTGCCCCCAAGTGTGGCTACGGCAGGCCCTACCTCCGAGCCCGGAGGCCAGCTGCCCATACCCACCCACTTACCTACCTACCTACCTACCTACTTACCTACTTACCTACCTATAACCACTACTTCGTTAACCTCGCTATTACTACCGCTACTACTATTACTAATTAAAGCTATTTTTAATATTAATATACTATAAAAAAAGAATAATTACGAAGTTAATAATCCTTTTATTTACTAATATATAGCTAATTATAACAATTACGGCTACGTAAAGTATAATTACTTACTTTATAATTAATAATTCCTTACCCTATTTAATACTAAAATAGTACTTAACGAGGCTATTTACGAGGCTAGTTTCGTAATTTAAATTATTTAATATAAGCCCTCCGCTAAGGCGCTAATTACTATTACTTATTATTATAATTATAGCCCGCGTTATGATTAAAAATAATAACGCTTTATAAAATTAACTTACTTAAATAAGTATTATAAATCCTTAACCTCGTTTATAAACTACTATTAATAAATCGCTACTAGCTTTTTAAGTAGTAATTAGCTCTTTTATCCTATTATTAATAACTTCCCTAACTATTATAATTACTTATTTAGTAATATTAACGCTTTTATATATTACCGCTGCGCGCTATTACGTAATAAGAAGGACTAAATTATTAACTAATAAAATAAGAGTATTTAACCTATTTAAATCTTTTCGAGCTTATAGTTAAAAAATAGCGATTATAGTAGTATCGTTACCCATAATATACTTAATATATTAGCTATTTACTACTATAATAAATTAAGTAGTAAGATCCCTATTAAGTAGTTATTTAACTAATTACGTAATTTAACGAAGTATTAGTACTATTTTTAATATAATAACGCGAGCTATATTACGAGCTTATTTATTATACTTATTATTACAATTTCCTTATTTTAATAATACCCGGATATTTTATTAATAGATTTTATATATAAAACTAACCGATTTAATATACCGTTATTTAATATTTACAGAATAATTAATAATAGTTATGCTTTTTAAGTTACGAGCTACTTTTTATTTAATAAAAAAGAAGCTAACTATTATTAGGCTATTGACTAGCTATTAATATTACTCCGGGCCTACGAAATTCCTTTTTTATAAGTTACGTATACGGATCGCGAGATTACTTTATTTAATACCTTTAATAATAATACTTAATTTAAAGTAGTACTATACGTACTTTGTTATTAGTACGTTAATTTTAACGTACTAGCCCAGACCCGGCGTTATTTTAGTTTAGTTATAAGGAACGAGACTAGCGTAGTTATATATAACTCTTATTTTTAGTAATTCCTTATAAATTAAAGTAATCTCCTCCGTAATTAATTAATAGCTATATATTATAACTAATTATTTAAATTTTAAATTACTAAGTACTTTATAATAATAGTCGATTATATTATTAATACTTAGCTTAACCCGTAGTACGAGAAATTCGTACTTATTTAGGTTAATTAAATTAGGTACTTTAGTTATTTAATTATATTAATTATTAAACCTTTATATACGAGTATTAAAGTACGAGTTTATTATTATATAGGTAATTTTAAAGCCGTATTTAATAAATTAATTATTTTTTAAATAAGTTAAGTAGTTATAATTAGCGCTTATTAAACCCGTTACTAAGCTAGGGTATTAAGTACTGTTACAGGGTTATTTTAGAAAAAAGTGCGTTTATATATATATTATAATACCCTTAAGTAACTCTTATAAGAACTTAGTACGCTAAATAAATAACTAAATTTAGGTTTATTAAAGAAGTTATTAAAAGAGTATATATATTATTTAATTTAAACTACTTATAAGTTACTTTATTACTACGTCTTTTAGTAATATATTAAGGACGGTACTTTAATATTATTAAAAAAGATCTATTTATATTAGTTCTAGCGACGCTTAGAGCTTATTATTAATAATAATACTTCTATCCCCCTATTTAATCCCCTATAAGTCCGAGGTAAGGGTTATTTATAAGGCTCTATAATAAGTATTATAATAATTATAATAAGTAAGTTAAAAAAGCTAGCTATTAATTAAAGTACTTTTTTTAAATAAGAGCCCTCTATATTTAAGTATAAAGAAGTTACTAAATATATAAAAGTAATATTCGTATTAGCGCCGCTACTATTAATAATACTTCTAGTACTAAGTAGGGCTACCTCTACTTAACAAGGCCTCGAGATTATATATAATTCTAATATATACGAGCTTAGTATAGAAATATAATAAAAGTATTAACGAGCTATTATTAACGAAGTAATTAATATAGTTAATAATAATATGATTAATTTTATAAGGGCTCCTCGGCTACTAATATTTATAAAATTATAATTCTAATTAACTAATAATCTTACGTAATTAGATATATTATAAGATCTAATTAACGAGGATTACGCTTATAATATTAATTTTATAATAAAAAGTAAGATAGATAAACTTATTAATAAGTACGAGGTTAAAGTAGAATACGAGGCTAAAATAGAGGAAGTTATTAAATTACGAGCTATGGGCTATACGGAGTAATTAATAGTTAATTAGGTAGTTAATTAAGTAGTTAATTAAGCTACTTTGTTAATTATAACGAATTAGGCCGTACTTTTTATTAAAAAAATTTAATTAACTATAAGTTAATTAACGGCCTTTAATTAGTCTAATTTATTTAAATACTAACTATATAAAGCCTAGCTTATGTATATACCTAAGACCGGCGGTCGTGTAGCGGCCGTAGCTACACTTAGTAGCAGAATAGCGGGAGCTACTGGCAGGATATCCTCGCCCCTATTCTATTGGATTGGATCTAAATCCCAGCGCTTTGCATGTCAAGCTTCCCGTCAATCTCGCAATGAGATTGAGATGTCAGCAACCATACCAAACCCACTGGCCAATGCCTGGGGGCTCCACTGAACGGGGACAATACGCGGGAGTAAGAGCAATCCCTGTCTCTTGAGGAGTCGATAGCATTCAGGGCAGTTCCCTGGCGACTGGTTAAAGCGGCCTCCGCGGACCGTCAGCATCAAGACCGCGCATCTGGTCGGCCGGGTCCTAAGCGGCCTATTCGTACGGATGATGAGGGGATCGTGGACGCAAAAAGCTTGACGCATACAAGGCTACGGCTATGCGTACCGACACGCAATTCTTGCTCATTCTCCCCCCACACTGTAGATGCCGAATCAGCCCTTGACTCGTGGGGGAGGGGTCTTACGCTTCCTCGATTGACTATTCGTAGAGCACGTTCGACGCTACTTTTCAGAGATGCTGGTTTCGTCCATCTTTCGGCACAGGTAACCGCTCAATCCCCAAGACTGGAACACTGCAACGCGCAATTCAAGCTGCATCCAAGACTGTTTGGGCTTAGCTTATTGGTTGAGCTCAGACGTAACTCACTCAATCCTCAATCCCCTAATCTTCAATATGAGCTCGGGGCGTGTCTTCGACATGCCGATGGCCCGGCGAACTTCCAGCCCCGTGCCAGCATCCGCGATTGGACCATCGTAGGGGTTGCTCAAGGCATATCTTCCTTGAAGTCGATATTTCATTCAGTCTTGCAATTGTGCCTCGGAGCTCACCTTGATTGATAGGCACGTAGGAACTGTGAGCAGCATTGGTACCTGTGGTTGATTCAAGGTTATAATCCCATCATCCCATCGCCACGGAACAAGGCCAGGACCCCGAAGACCTCTCTTTCCGGCAGTAGAGTTTGGATCGAGCTGTACAGGTTTCACAGCTCATCCCGCTGTTCAACTCAACTCTTGGCTGTCACAACTTGGTTGCATGCAACGTGCCAACCTTGGTGTTGAAGGCTCTGGAACACAAAATTCAACGAACATTGCCGGCGGTTTAACTGGGCTGTCCTTACCAGATTGTCGACCATTTCGCACCACGAGCCACCACAAGTACGTCACTAGCACCATTCTAGTCTCTCATCAACTGCGCACTTGATCTGTGAGATGACAGTCTTCGTTTCGAGTTGTGCCGGCTACCCATCGCCTGTCGCAGCCGTTGTCGAGGCTTGAGTTTGGGTTTGAAGGGTTCACCCTAGCCGCGCGTCCACCGCCGGAAGAATGGGATCTGCCGCCTCACCCAATCTGTCTATTTACCCAGCACTGTGGCGGAGCACGCTTCTCTGACTGATTGGCTGCGTGGCTGCTTCTTGACCTTGTCTACAACCAGGCTAACCTACAATTGCGTGCGGGGGTTTGGGTAGGTAGACTGCACGACATTCCTCCGGTCGGATTGGCCCCGCTCTTACACCATCGCCGACCTCCTTCGCCGATGGTACAAGTCGGCCGGGCCTAGGCGTGGGGCCGATATTGAAGAACGAGGCCGACTCTCAGTACCCACCCACGGCATGGATGCTAGCCAAAAGTACACACGCAACATACACACAGTAGGGGTCACGATGGTTAGATTGGCTTTTCTCTTTACTTTGCTAGTTGTCCTATCCTACAGCTGAAGCAAAGCAACGTCGTACCCAGTATCGACACATGCGCTAGACAAACTGCGACCAAAGAGCAAGGCGGCATCTTGACTACCACTCCTGAATCGTAACAGATGGGAAGCCCTAGAAAAGAACATGACTAAACACCGTAGATGCCAGCTTCATCAACACTATCTCTCGTAAGAGGGTTCGTGGGAAGAAGCGAACAAGGTTCCCAAAAACAAGAGCGCCTGGATCCATCGAGATTGAAGAGAGTTTTCAACCAAAAATAACAACAAAGCCAGCTGCCCCTCGCCATGTGCAACTCCCAGCCCTAGCACCCAGCACCCATCCCATCCACCCATCACCCTTTCCAAAGTCCAACTCAAAAACAAATCGTGGGGTTACCAACAGTGTGTAGGTTCGTGCCCCTCCTCGTTTTCCCTAAAGAAGCAAATCAAGCGCCGCTTTCATGTCCCAGTCAGTCAATGTTGCGTCAAGTAGATTTAGTTGGATCGTTGGTTGAATTGGATTTTCCGAGAAAAAGATGACGACGACGATGATGCACATCCAGACAGATTTTGTTTGTTATACCGCCCATGCTTTATGTGCTTTGTGCTTTTTTTTTCACTCAAAAATAGAACTGCTGCTGGGGCTGGCCCGGTGGCGGTTGGGCGACGAAGTCAAAGTTCATGGTATCGACGCCGCTGTTCCAGGGGTCGGGCGATTCTAGGGAACGATCAGCCTTGTGAGTCTCAACCGGCGACAGATTCGTGAACGCTACTTACCCCACCAGATTGATTCGTAGAGATCCATTGGGGACATGTATGTTGACGGGTCCAGGTTGGCAATGTTATCCATGCTGACGGGTGGGTATCCCATGCTGAGACTTGTTAGCATCATCCGAGGAACGAAAGGATCGCGAATGGGAGGTTCAGAGATTACGTACTTTGGTGTGTACTCCGTCATCGCTGTACCATTTTGCATCTCGGCCATGGCGAGAGCCGCGTCCTGGTGGGGATCCATGCCGAACGGCTTCCCGTCATTGTTCCCGTTGACGTTATTGCCCATGGGGCCCATGAGCATCGGCGGCAGCGGCGTCCTCGCCCCGCTTCCGGTGCCGCTGGAGTCGGTCCCCTTCATCTGCGACGTGCCCATGATGGTGCCATGTTCGTAAATGTTACGCAGCGCCGTCAGCGCTCTCCATAATGGTCCAGACAGCTCGATATCCTTGTCCGTCTTGGGGATGTGAGCCGTGGGCGAGGTGGCCTCCTTCGCGGCCGTTGCGGACAGCGCGGCGATGAGGTCGCCCTGCAGCTGACGGACCTCGGGGCTGTTCTTCGTCTCACCCAGAATACCGAGGAGCAGTGCGGACGAGAGGCCGTGATACGTAAACGCCCAGCTGCGCGTAGGAATGACTGAGAGCTGGTGCATGGCGAGGAACATGCGGACCGTCTCGGCGAGATTGTGCTGGCACTTGTCCGAGAGATGACGCTTCTGCTCGGGGGTGAGCTTGGTGCAGTCGCGGCGGAGGGCGGGGCGGCAGCAGACGGAGATGACGAAGGAGGTGTGCAGGCGGACGGCGTAGTGCTGAAGGCGGTCGATGGCGCGTTTGCACTGTTCCTTGATGCGAATGTTGGGGGCGACGTTGTTGCGGAGATTTTCGACAGCTTCGCAGTTTTCAACCATTTGCTCGTAGCTTACTGTCGTTGCCACGTCTGGGTTCAGACGCCGCGAGATGATTTCGCAGAGGTGATACATTGTGTCCAAGTAGCCGTATTCGCCGGCAATGGTGGTTGCTACTGTCGGAATCGGGCAGCAGGGGATGTTTGTCATGGGAGGACTATTCTTATTAGAGTGCGTCTGGTTATGAGATTCTCGTAGAGTTGCTGTTCTTACCGATCAAAGGATAGTGATGTGAGCGTATCGTGCCACACACATGTCCACCACAGCTTCCGGCGGATCATCTCCTTGGACTGTCCATCATTCCGGGCGCTGTCCCGTCCGTCAGAGGGATTCGGCCGGTGCAGGCCGAGAGACTGAGCCAGCCTGCAGGTCAGACCAAGCAGGGCCCACGAGGCCTCGGCCTTCATGTCATTGAGAAGGACGAAGCTGGTGAGCAAGAGAGCTTGGATGGAATCGAATGTGGGTCTTAAAGCCGGTGTGGGGTCTCGGGTCAGTGGATGGTTTTTTGTTTACATTTCACGGTCATTGTCCGAATAGCCGGATGGGACCCATTCTCTAAGAGATAAGGGGGCCGAGAGGCAAAGAAGGGAGGATGACTAACCGTAGTAAAAAATTGCCGAGCCGCAAGAAATGGAACGATATTTGTATGTACTTTTGGGAGTCCCGCGTGCGGATATGATACGGCGAGTCGTGGTATTGCGACCCAACGGCCAGCAATGCAAAAAGAATGGCGAGCCATGAAGCGGATACGGGTTTCGGCGTGCGTGCGGCGTTGCTCGCGTTGCGCGCGCGGTCTTCGAGGTAGACCATGAGCTTAGACTCGAGGTCATCAATATCGACGACGAAGCCCCAGAATTGTTGGGGAGTTTCTTTGTATGTGCGGAACAGCCTTCATTTTGTTAGTCCTCCCTCTGTCCCTTGTGAAGTGAAGAGACACTCACTTCATGACTTCCCGATCCGAGGGCAGCTCCGCCGAAATCTCCCTCGTCAGACTATCGAGATGCTTTGATGACATGAGCGGAAAGGGCGCAGAGGTATCGAGTCCGAGAATGGACCTCATATCCTGCCGTATATCGACGCCCTCTTGCAGGTCGTTGGCGCCGGACTGCTCCCTCAACAGGGAGGGGATACTATTTTGGCCGAGATACCGCGTGACGGCTTCGGGGGCCTCGGTTTCGTCCACCACGCCTGCAGCTACTGGTCCCCGGGGGAGCTTATCAGTATACAACCCGTTGTTGTTTCCCATAAACGACGACGACGATGCTGCAGAAGCAAAAGGTCTCGAACCAGGATGGATGTGCTGGTTATGCGGCAGTGAAGACGACAATGATGACTTACCGATGGCCGCGCGTGGCCAGGTCGCGCTGCCGGGTTCCTGCTTTAAGGGAGGTTGACCCGCGGCGGCGTCCGCGGCAGGATCTTCGGGCGAATGCGGTCTTTTTCGATTGAGCACTGATGAAGCCGTGCCGTTACCTGCTGTAGTCGGTGCGGTTGTGGTGCTGGCACCATTACCGCCGGCATTGCTATTGCCGCCCTCTGTTGTGACGGAGCCGGCGGCCTTGTGGTTTGTACCGTGAGAGGCTGTGCGATTGGGCTTGTAGGAGCATAGTTGTGGGTGTTCTCGCTTGACGCAGTTTTCGCATGGTTGTTTGTTGTCGCACTTTACCTTGCGTTGGCGACATGGCCAGCAAGCGGTGCCTTTGGAGGAGTCAGTATGAGTCAATAGATGATGAGATGAGTGATTTATGATATGGGGGTGAGATGAAGGTGAGAGGATGTGAAGATCAAGTCATCTCATCTCTGTTACCTAGAGGATATGGGATGAAATGAGATGAGGTATGTTGAGCAGACGGCATATGTTTGTCCGTCCACCGGTGGCAGAGAGAAAAAGTCACTCATGAATGGATCAGTCTCACTCACCATATCTGACCTTGCGGTGAGAGTGGATGATGCGGTTGGCCTCCTCGGGGGTAAGATCATCGATGGAGGCCTGATCCGGGGTCGGGGTGGTTTGCGACTCGGTCATGATGGCGACGGGCCTTGCATCAGACCCGGGTGTCGTCGGCGGCGTGAGCAGCGGAGGTGAAGATGGTGGTGGAGGACGTCACGGATACGGTGGCAGCTACAGATGCAGCTCGCTGTCTGCCGCTTTGAGAGTCTAACAGACCGTGGTGGCGATAGCTGCTTTTCTCCAGACCTCTGTATGGGACAGGCACAGAAAGGTGGGAACTCCCCCTTTCGAAGCCCGTCCGCCGGGGTGGAAGGATTTACAGTTCACGGACGTGACGGGGGGCCAGCCGGGCGGCCGATCGGGGGTGATGAGCGCGTGCGGCGTGGAGTTTTGCGCGCAGGCGGCGGGCTCTTCACTTGGGAGTTGCAATTTCTTGCAGCAAGGCGAAAACGTCGTTCGGCGTACGGTCCTGGCGTGTGTGGTCGGGTGTCTCTGTGTGTCTGGTTCGGGATGCCGGTGTTGGTGGCCGGAGGCGGGTAATGGATGTGGGAAAGACAATTCGGGATTTGAGAGGTCCCAGTTGCGGCGGTTAGATGCACCTCCTTAGGTAAGGCAAGGCAAGGCAAGGCAAGGCAAGGCAATGATGCGTGCTTCTGGATTGGTCTTCTTTCTCCTTCTTTTTTCTCTCTGCCGCCCGGGTGCGCGTTACCGGCCGTTGAGACGAGGAAACGAGAAACGAGAAAATGGAGCTTGTGCTGTTTGCGGTTCGAAGCCTGGCCGGGCTGGCTGGTGTGTGGTTCCAATGGTTCCAATGCGGCTCCGTTGTTGGCGAAAGAGGAGTCCCTTCTTTTTTTTCCCTTGAAGAGGGGGGCGTTTGGAGGTTGGGGATTGGAGGAGAGGAGAAAGCAGGTGAGGGGACCAGCAAAAGAAGCTACAGCCTAAGTGAAGACTGAATGCCGAGATCCCGAAGCGAAGGCGAGATGGGCGTTCGCGAATCGCAGATGGGTTCGCACCACCACTGAACAGTAGCAGTAGAGACTATGACAGCTGCAAGGTAACGCAGTGCGCGCCATGCAATCGGGCGAGGCTCAAGAAAGCAGCAGCGAAATGCAAACTGGTCGCGAGACTCGGGCACCGGGAATGGAGGATTTCTAAAGACGAAAACGGAAAAGGAAAGAAGAGAAGGGAGAGAGAAGATGTCAATGGAACACACTGGATACAAGACAGGACAAGGACAGGACAAGAAGGCGCAACGAAAGAGACGGGAAGCAGCGGGGTTCAAGCTGAGAGGCGTTGGTCCAATGTCTGTGTTTCTTCAACTCTTTCGTCCAGTTGGCTGCCACACTGCTCCTTCCCCTCCGGCTGCGCGGGACCCTTGGAATTTCCACCCATTGCTTAGCTAAGTCTTTGGATGAGTAAGAATGAACCGAAAAATAGAAGGAATTCCGCAGTGATAACACTACGGGTGGCCCTGCCTTCCAGCCTTCCTGGCTGCTCACTGATCGCTCTTGGGTCAGAGCGGCTTCGGATCACCCACGCTAAAGCCAGATCAGGTATAACTCAGCTTCACTCTCCAATTGCCCAACTGCCAAGACCCACTCGTGACTTACCCCACTTTGGAGCCCTCGACACCTTCCAGACTCCCGTTCCTGCCTTCCTTCCTTCGCTGTCACTGCATCACCAGACCAATTACTCCGTACCTTATGCTTACATAAAATAGCACGACGGAGTTTGATTTGATCGGTGATAAACACCTCAGCGCGGGCTCGGTGTAGGTATCCGTGTGTCTCTACCTCACAGTCTCCTGGGCGGGGCTACAGGTGAGTGTCGGTGAGCGTAAATACTTTTCGGTCTGAGTTGGGCATTTCAACTGATGGATCTAGATCCAGACCAACCTTACACCCTTTCTTCGCCCCCTACAGCCCTAGATCGACGATATCTTAGAGATCCTACGAGCACGTCGATATCAATCATTGACCGTCGAAATCGTCAAAATTTCTCTACCCTCACGTCATGTTGTAACCTGCCCTGCAAGGGCATATCGTCTTCCGTGAGCCGAAATGTGGTCCATGTTGCGTCACTACGTGCTGCTGCTTGAGTCAGTCACATCTTCTTCCCTGATTTATTTCTGTGATCCGAATGCATACAACGGCCATAAACAACGTGATCGCGAAGAGTTTTAATCGTGGCTTGCTGAACAATAGGACCAGCTAGTTGGCTGGCTCAGAGAAAATCGTGTTTCTCAGCAAGCACGGGAAAATTTTCAGCCGATAAGAGTAGACATGATTGATTAAAAACTACTGGGTACTATTCAAGTCGCCGCATCCCCTCCACAATCCAACTGCAAACATTGTGCCATCTACAGCGACGCACTCAGGGGCAGGTCTCTTGATGAGCTTCCAACCCACACCTTCTTCGGGTACTCGCTGATGACCCAGTTTTGGCTCGCCGTGTCCCAGTTGCTGAGGTCACGTCTGGTAATCTCCGCTTTGAACGTCGCCGACGCGCCGGCCTCAATAGGGATGCGCTCAAACCCACGGAGCACCTTGACGGGATCCTCTGGTCCGCCGAGCGAGACATAGAGCTGAGCAACCTCGTCACCAGCCACCTTGCCCGTGTTGGTCACCGTAGCAGTCACCGTGTAGAGGACATCCCAAAGCTGCGGGTTACCGCCAGGGGCTCCGGATGCGGGGTGCTTGGGCTGAGGAGTGCTTGCAACAGCGTTGGGAGGAAGGAACTCCTCGGCAGTCTTGCCGTAGGTTGGGTCGTTGGCAGACTCTTTGACATCCGAGGTATTCAGGTAGGGATAGATGAAGTTGTAGATGTACCGGAACTCATTGCTGGGGAAGACGTACTCGGCCGGATCTGTGCTGTAGTTGCCGAACGTGGGTGCTGCCGCCGTCTCTCCAGTCGTCGGGGCATACGCGCCGGCATTGCCCTTGGTCACGGCCAAGTTGGAGTACTCAAAGGTGGTGTATGAGAGACCAAAGCCGAAGGGGTAGATGGGTGCAACGTCGGAGCTGTTAGATCCAGCAGTGGCACGGTCAAAGTGGCGGTAGTCAATGAAGACGCCCTCAGTGAAGTCGTCCTGCGGCGCCGCCTCGCCATTGTTGGGCTCGTACAAAACATCGGCACCGTAGCTTTCGCGGTTGGGGCCCCATGTGAAGGGAGACTTGCCTCCCGGGTTAACGTTTCCGTAGAGAACATCAGCAATCGAGTTACCGGACTCTTGTCCAGGAAGGCCGGCCCAAACAATAGCGGTGATGTTGGGGTTGTTAACCATGTCAGTCAACAGAACTGGGCCGATGGAGTGAATCACGACAATGGTGTTGTTGTTGATCGCCGAAACATTCTTGACAAGCTCATCCCCGGCGTTCCAAAGCGTCAGGTTCTGGCGGTCGCCCTCATTGCCTCCGACGTTGATGAAACCTTCACCACCGTTGGCATTGACAAACACGATTGCCGTGGCATCTGCCTGGGAAACCAAAGCCGTGGTAGCCGCAGTGTCGTAGTTGCTCAGAATGCTCTCGTAACGAGTACCATCGGCAACAGCACGGGCAGACAATCCCTGGTCAGGGGTGACTAAGTAAGGGTACTCAGCCGTTCCTGATCCCCATGCAGCACCCAGAGTGCCATCGTTGCAGCCTCTGTTGTCGCATCCGTTGGGGCCCTTAAGGTTGGGTCCGGCATCCTCTCCAATGACTGCCAAGAACTTGGGCTTGTTGAGTGGCAAGGCGCCATTGTTCTTCAACAAAACAGTGGCCTTGGCGGCAATCTCGCGAATCAGGTTGGCGTGGTCTCTGCCCTTACGAACATCAACGTGCTGGTTGATGACCTGGGTGTTTTCCTTGGCGTAGTATTGAACGGGTCCAACGGTGTCCTTTGTCCATGAGGAGAAGGTAAGTTCCGGAACCGATTCCACCTCAAAGCCGACCTTGAAGAAGGCAGCCATGATACGCAGAGCCATGTCGTCAAGGCGATATTCTGGGACGGTGCCGTTGAGGACAGCAACGGTCAAGTTGGTTCCCCAGAACGTAGTTCCGGTGTTGAAGAGAACGTCGCCCGGCATGGCCATGTCGAGGCCTGCAACAGCGGTAGCAGCACCGGCCTATTTCAGAGTCAGCATGAAAATTCTACACGAGCTAGGAAAGAGAGGCGAATGAAGTCAAATCTTCCTTCAGCTATCAAGGGGATACGCACGTGTTGAGCTTGCCTGCAGTCATGTTAGCCATTATCCCTCTACATATCTAGAACAATATTGGGAACCACTCACCAATCAGACATGATGAATCCTTGAAAGCCGAGCTCTTCCTTGAGAAGTCCGTTGAGAAGCTTCGAGTTCTGGCAACCGTACGAGTTGTTGACTTGGTTGTACGAGCACATGATGGAACCAACGCCGGCGCGGATGGCATCGGCAAATGGCCACATGTAGAGCTCGTGCATAGTCTTGTCATCAATGTTGGACGAGATGGACTCGGTAATGTTGTATCCGTAGCCAATAGCTTCCGGAGCTTGTCTGAAGTGTTCCTGCTCGTTGCCAACGAAATGTTTGGCGCAGGCAATGGCGTGCTGCTGGATACCCTTGACCGACTCGGCCATGGCGATACCTGTGAGGTAAGGGTCCACGGAGAAGCCCTCCCAGTTGCGGCCTCCAGTTGGTGCACGACCAATGGGTCCGGCAACGGGGGCGAGGACAACGTCAATACCCTTGGAGCGATGTTCGAAACCGATGGCCTCGGCTCTGCGGTAGATTAAGCCTCGGTCCCAGGTCGCGGCGACAGTCTGGCCGGAGGGGAAGACGGAGTTGTAATCGGTGAAACGAATGCCAACGGGGCCGTCTTGCATGCAAAGACCACGAAGACCGAGGCGGGGAACAGAACCGACGTTTCCAACACAAACGTCTCCTTGCCATCTGTAGTCATGTTAGCCATTTTCGGTTGAAGAGAAGACGGTATACGTACCCGACTCCAGTGGTCAAGTTGACCTTCTCGAGAAGAGTCAATTGGGAGACAAAGTCCTTGGCTTTGGCATAGGCATCAGCCCAGCCATCGGCACTGGGATCCATCCATGGCGACGGGTAGACTGGAGGCGAGTGTGCGAGATCGCGCTGTGGACATCGTAAGTCTTTTGGGCATTCTAAAAGCTGTGATAGACCGAGAGCGGAACTAAGAAAGCGAAGGAAACGCATGGTTGCGATTACAACATGGCCAAAGGGGAGCAAAGCTGTCTAGAATGATGATACGGAAGACCACGAATTGCAAGTTAAAAAGCGAGATCGAGAAGACGAGCTTCATAAGGAGCAAGGCGCCTTCCATCCAGCTAGATCTCACGGAGACATGACTCCTGCATACCGATCCTTCTTGTCCAAGACAAACTCATGCCCCGCTCAAGCTGAAAGGTGGTTTCACAAAAACACGAGATCGAAAGTGAACCGCAGCGGCAGCAACTTACCTTGTGTAGCTTTCCTTCAGGCGCCACGGCAGCAGCGACCTGATCAGCCGCCGCCAGAAGGGCGACGACAAGACTTTGTGTTCTCATTATGAATCCTTGCCTTTGCTGGGCGTGTCGTGTATCGGAGGAGTGACTGCCTGGGCGAAGAGGACAGAGACAATGGTGGAAGGAGGTCCTAGTCGAAGTGAATCGGTGACCCGGCGTTCAATGGCTCTGTACACAAGGTGTGAGAACTCGAGTAGTCACTGGTAGGACGGCTCGAGGCAGTGTCGGTGGATGTGAAGCTGTAGTCTCGTGGAAGGAGAGCACAGAACCTTGACCGAGAGATTGGATGAAGGCGGGTGCGGCTGCTACTTTAATGTTGACAGAGGAGCTGGGCTGATCGTCCAGGGTAGCTCCTTCAGGAAACAAGCTCGACCTCTTTCTCTCTGCCGCAAGGGTAGTATCCGCAGGCAGAGAAGGTGCCGAGGGCAAGGTGCTGGGCCCGCAAAGACGGAAGTGTTGATCTGGGCTGGACTTGATGATGCAACAAGGTTTCCCTGCTTACAAGCTGTGGTGAAATGGGACCAACTTGTGGGCATATGCAGCACGCTGAACGGATGCTACCCCACCACACCGCAGATGAATTCTGGGGAGGGTCGTGAAGTATCCCACCGCCTCTGACTAACACGCGTGTACTTTGTCTTGGAAATGGTACCGTACACTGCGGGGAGGGCAAGACTCGGTTGGATGCGGAGAAGGAGAAGACGATGTATGGCGAAGACAAAGACAAGGACAACGCCAGCGTGCAGGAGGAAGGTCATATGAGTTGGAGATGGAGGGCCGCCTGTAGCTAAGACTGGATCGAGTTGCGCTCGAGGCATGCTCTAATCCGACTTTGAAAGGGGCGCTCAAGGACTCAGGGACTCGAGGGGAGCTTGCGTTCGAGACATTGGAGAGAGGGTGCCAAAGTCCGGGGCAAACGCCGTCCCGAGACTGGGGACAGGCGAGCGGCGTGAATGGCACCTATCCGCAGGTGTAATGATTGGGTTCACTGGGCCACTAGGGGCAGGGTGCAGTAATAGTATCCGTACGTCATGTTGAAAAAGGGCCGATCAGCAAGTGCGATGACGGACAGGGCGAGACCAGGAATGGCCGGACAGGAGAGATGACGGGACTCGGGCCCTCGGGTGAGATGAGTAGAGACTTGAGAGTCATTAGGTCTCGGGAAGAGGCACCGATTGTCTCTGAAAGCTAGATGTGGTGTATCTGATGTGATCAAGTCGATGTTGTTGTCGAAAAAATGGACGAATGAGATCTGTGACGTTTGGTGAATTTGAGCTTGCCCTCGCCAATGTTATGTTTCCACACTAGAATGTTGGCAGAGAAGGCAAAGACGGGAGGAGAGAAAGTCAAGCCAACGGACCGGGGAATGGAGACCGGCGCTGGGGTACGTATCGATGTGGTTCAGTACCTAAACAAATCGGAACGGGTGGGGAAGCGGGGCCCCTCCTCATTGCCCCAGAGCGAGAGGGAAACAACTCTCCACGGAGTGAGTCGTGACTGCCTCCCCATGAAGTACAAAGCCTCAATCATCTGGAGATTGGAAAGAAGCAATGGGAGGAAATTGCCTTGGACGGCAGAAACGGCAGGAATCGGTCAGCGACCGGGAGGAAACATGTCGATACGCAGGGCATGCCATTGTGGCTGCATGTATTCCGGCAGTACTCCCTCCCATTCGCATGCTCCTCTCTACGCTAACGAGTTCTTGGTCTAGAGGCGGTTCCCGGTAGTGGTGGCGCTGCGCCAACCTACGCCTTCCCGCCGTTGGCAATTCAGAGAGGCGTCTTCTTTCTTTCCTCTGTTTTCAGAAAGAGACGTTTCTTTCCATTCATGACGGCTTCGATGGAACTTGGACGCCGCCAATTGGTCGACGTATTGCCAACTGGTTCCCACCGTCTGCAGCAGCGTTACATCCGTGGTTGACCCGGGCGAAATTCTCCAAGCCTCAAGGTTCTCTCTTTCTCCCGTTTCTCTCCCCTTTTCTCGGTTCGTAAGGTACTTGATGGAAATGGTACCTATGCGCATGATGAGCAGGATTTTGAGTGCCTTGGGCTGCAGATCGGAATAAACACTCTCCACACTACGTTCGGCATTTCATTCGCTTGGCACGCGTCTTTGTCATTCCGTCTTAGCTATTGACAGAGAGTGCAATAAACAAATTTTTTACGCAGTAAATAAGGAAAATGCAACGTCCCGGGATGGAGGCTCCAAGACAAAAACTCAAAAACATGCTGGTGCCTGAATCATGAGGACGGCTATTCCGCACCCACATGAAGGCTATCCCGCACCCATACTAGGCCTACTCAAGCAAATAGTGGGCTACACGTGACTGCACCGCCGCAGCAGCCACATTGGGCGCGCGCCTTCCTGTTGTTTCTGTTTTGACGCGTCTTTTTTGTTTAACACCTCCTTTTTTAGTCACTTTTGAAGTAGGATAAGTACCTTTTTGAGTACTAAAATATGAGCTCTAGAGAAGTATTTCTCCTAAGTAAAGACTGGCTTCTAAAGTCGTGGTTCTGACTCCGAAAAGCGCGCATAGGCGGTATTATAAAAGAGGGTAGAGTGGAAGGTGTAGTAGGCAGTGGAAAGTGTAGTAGGTAGTGGAAGGTGTAGCAGTGGAAGGTGTAGTAGTGGAAGGTGCGCTTTCTAATCCTCTCGAAACTGCCGGAATGATAGGAATTCCGGGTTAAATGTGGCTGCTGCGGCGGTGTAGTCACGTGTAGTCACGTGTAGCCCATTATTTGCTTAATTAGGCCTAGTATGGGTGCGGGATAGCCTTCATGTGGGTGCGGAATAGCCGTCCTCCTGAATCATTGGTACTTTTTAGAGGGACGGAGGCGCAGACGCACTTTTGCAAGTACCTGCCTACAGGCTACTTTGTACGGAGCATCCGTCTCATCTACGGATGTTAAACCGGATGCTAAACCTATGCTTAAACTTGTACATTTCCCGTCATCTCAATTCTCTCGCCGTTGCATGAAAACCATAATCTCTCTTCCTCGCACTGATCACTGATGATGAGAAATTCAGCTCGTCCAACGTCCAACACGGCGACTTACATGACGCCACGCCCCAAACCAACCAACCAACCTCTACGTAGTACAATCTACCTACACTGCACACCGCAGTGAGGTACTTTGCACACTGTCGACGACAACGCATCCCCCGCTTCTCGGCTCTTCCTCACTCACGCACACTTTTCTTCTCCATCTTCAGTCTCCAGTTTGTCTCCCCCCTCATCTCCCCCGCATTTCGAACCCAGGTGCCAGCCAATCCACTCGGCCCTCTGCTACCCCTCATCACCCAAATCCTCTCCCCGTCTCCAGACTCCATCGTCCATCGTTCCCGCGGAATACCGGGTACCTTCATACCCATCATGAATCAAGCTTGAATGCACTCGCTATTGTGCGCATCGAATGTTCACAGTCAAAGAGACCATGTGCCAAGGAGCGGGGTCTCCCAGTCCTTTCGGCCCGTTTACTATCTACTTTATTGGAGAAGCTTCATCGCCGTACGCAGCGGCCAACTTCGGCTCTCGCGATGGGAGCCTACGAAGAGAAGGAAGAATATTTTGCGTAGATTGCATGCCCTGCCCTTATGATCAATCATCATCCGAGTCGGAGTTCCGATCTGACGTATCCGTGCAGCTCGCAGCCCGCAGTAAAGCACGTAACGTTCCCTCGTACCCAAGTAGGCGGACGACAGTCTAATTCGACGCTTCATCTGTCCAACCTACCTCTCAAAATTGCCGGCGTGCCTACTACTGGACAAAGATCTCACAAAATGCATAGCGAAGGGTTCGGTATGAAGTAAGCAGCAAAATGCAAAAAGAAGCTCATGATGACTAGACGACCTATCTAGTTCCGCAATCACGCCCGATTAAAAGTCACTTACGCGCCCGAATTCCTTCGCCTTGGCTTCAGAAGATGGCGCTTCTGCAGATCCCAGCCATGAACGCCACATGCCCAACTGATTGTCCAACGCCCCTTAGCCGGGCGAGCCAAAGCCTACTACTAAGCTACCAAAAGCTCCAGGCGAACCCACGATCCGGGTGATGCGCGATATCCACCAGCTCCACGACCCAACAAACGGGCCGAAGAGGGGCCCATCCGCATGCTTTTCCGGGCCTGCTTTCCGGAGCCGTCTCCTGATCCCTCGGGATGTCAGTAGACACCAGGAAGGATTCTCCACCGAACAATCTTCTTGTACTTCTCCCAGTCCTCGCCGTACTTGCGAGAGCACTTCTCGTCATCGCGGCGGTCGCGGTGAATCAGTAAGACGGCAAAGTAAACAATGTAAAAGTAGGTGATGGGAGTCGCCATGCCACGAGCCGCGCCCTGGATAACCTCACGACCATCAGCCATCTTAAAAGCTCCCTCGAGTCCGGCTTGGGCATATCCGGTGCCTGCCGAGACAATGGTGTATCCAGCCATGCCCGTGGGCAAGCAGTACGGCCACGCCTGGAGCCAGTCGCCAAGGTAGTTGATGTGACGAGCGACTCCCCACCAGCCCGAAACGAGGAGGCGACTTCCGGTCTTGGTCTCGATGTACTTGAGGTGGGCAACGCTTGGGTCGTCCGGGTTGCTACGGAAGGCATTCTTCTGGCTGTTGGACAGTCGAAAGATGGAGAAGGCAACGCCGATGAGTCCGACGATACCGGCCATACCCAAGGGGCTCATCGAGACGGGGTACACAGCCAGGTAACGAGTCTGCAGGGAGTAGACAAACGGAACCCAGACGAGGTCGCCAAAGGAGAGCATGAAGCCAAAGCCGTCCGTGGTGATGTCAATCGTCGTCAGGATCGCGGGCTCATTCCACCAGCAGTCAATGACGTACGCAAGCTGGACGGCAGAGACGAAGACGCTGCTATTGGTGACGAAGCCGTAGGTGCGGTGCTGTCTGGCCATCCACGCAAAGTTCATCAGAGACCAGCCCAACAGACCCGGTCGGATCTCCAGCCACTCCTTGATGTCTATCTCGCCTAGGAGAGGGATGGTAACGCGGGGGTTGAGCTCGCGCCCAATGTACCAGTCGTAGATGAGGTTGCCAGAGTGTCCACCCGCAGCCAACTCGCGGAGCTCTTTGTTACCCTGCTTGACGCTGAAGCTTCGCACGTACACGAAAGTCGCAATACCATAGGCAATAAGCATGTTGGCCGTAACGACTTGGATGTAGTTGTCGGTGATGAAGGTCCAGAGAGGGAACTCGGCGCCCTGGGCAATGGTGCCGGCGAGACAGACGGTCAGAATAAACATGCTGGAAGCGAAGGCTGCATCTGTTAGTGAAAGCCTCTCTCTTTGGATTCGCACAGCTTACAGTTGCATCGGTACTTGAGGCGGCCACCAGAGGCGAGCTCGACGCCATCGACCTCGGTCGCGGGAAGGATACGGTAGAGGAGCGCGTTGAAGAGGTAGTATCCCAAGACGGCAGCAGTGACCTTGTTGTCTGCGAGGCCCCAGATGCCCTCCTCGGGCCATCCGACTTCGCGCTTGAGTTGATCGAGCTTGAGGGTCGAAGGGCTCAAAAGAGAGGGAGCAGGGCAGCCCGACACGTCGTTGCAGCTGAAGGTGAAGAGGTAGACGAGAATCGGGAGACCGAAAGAGATGCCGAAGGCGCCGATACTGTGTTGCCGCGGGTTAGCTAGGTTTTCATACAATGAGAATCTGGAATACTCACGGCCCTCCGAACTCATAGCCATGCGGCTTTTGGACCGCGTCCTTCTCTACTTTGGACTCCATGTTGATCGTTCCCCCAAAGCAAGTGCTGTCGAGTCTGGGTAATAAGGATGGGAAAGTGAACAAGCTCGTGTTGAGCTTCGCGTGTATGATCCAGGGTTTTTGGCGAAAAGGTTTTCGTACGGGGTAGACGAAGAGGAAAATGTGAATATTTGTATGCCCCACCAACCCAATGTGGAAATACGAATGCGACAGTGACAGCAGCTTCAAAGCTCAGTATCGACCCCAGTTTCTGTTGATCGCCAGGTGGGCTGTGGAGGACTCTTTGCGCCGGAGCTCTGGTGTTCCGGGTGACCTCATGGAGCTCAATTCGATGACGCTAATAAAGAGTTGAGCCGTCTCATTGGGCTATGTTAAGGGTGGGGCTACGAAACGGTTTACGCTGTACGGTGGAGCACCAGTCTTGTCCCGTCATAGCTTCCCCGGAGGAATGGTTCCACCGAGGCAGGCGGCGTCCGGGGGGACGTTCCCAAGCATCGGACGATATCAAAGCTACACGGTCCGAAGGTTAGGACTGGAAGAAGCTTTTATTGCGTGTGCATCTACACTGCCCCTTTCGGCCAACACGAATGTTTATAAGTTTCATTAACTGGTGGTGTTGTAAACCGGTGAGAGGAATCCCTCCCGTCTTGCACCTGCAAGGAACATTCATTGCACTGGTCCAGCTGGACCTATCAGAAGCGGGCGGGTCCTGTTAGGTACGGTGCGGGCGGGTCGGCAATCGGAGAGCCGCTTTTATCTGACACGCTGACTAAGATTGGGACTGCGACTGACTGTCCTACCCAATGGCGGCAGATGCAATGGAGACGTGCACGTGATTTGGAGGTCGGTGGGTACCTTTCCGGACACTGCAGCCTGGCGGCCTTCTACCTCCGGCGGATGCTGCAAGGAGGGCCCATCCACCAATCAATGCCCACGCCCCGGTCACTCCCGTCATTCCCTGCAGATGAAGGCTGACGAATTGAAGTGACCAAGGTGGCTTTCGTGGCCAGGCAACTCATTCTGCTCTGCGCACCTCGATAATTCTCATCTTCTCCCAACGGAATTGTGTCCACGTTCCGCCATCGTTAACACTCGTCGCATAGCAAAATCGCTACACCATTCGCTTCGATTCCGGATTCCCAGTGGCCGACGGTCTCCAATTGACGCCCTAGGGGTCTTCTCGCGCCAACGTCACCCCCGCGTCCACAGGGGCGCCGACGTTAACCATCCTTCATTCCAACTCATCCTTATCGGCATTGCACCGAAACAGAGTCAGAATCATGCATTTCCTACATTCCTCGACACTTTTGCTCCTTCTCGCAGCTGCGACAGCTCGCGCTGCCGATACCGCGACGTCTTCAACGACAACAAGTGCACCGGCATGTACGGCGGCATCCAAGAGCGGCAGCGGGGCTTTCTATGACTTGCGGCCGGATATCGCCGTCAAGCCGGAGGAGGGCAAGTCATCAAAGTCAGGCGTCACGACCGATTATCACGCCAGAGGATGGGACTATGGCCGCAACTTCACTTTGAACATTTGCGCGCCAGTCATTGAGGCACTTGACGACGTTGAAGGCCTGACAAAGACCGAATCGAAGAACGTGAGCGCGTTCTACGAATACAAGAATGAGGTGTACTCCATTGGGTATGTATCCCACGAAACTCTTCACCGGACGCGCAAGTACTGATCACATCGATCTTCAGGTCATCATCCATGGACATTCAGACCCGCGGGCGCATACTCGTCCTGCAGTACAAGAACGGTTCCCCATGTGGCAAGACCAAATCGAAACGATCCAAAGCCCATGATGGGGCGTCATACAACAAGTACGCCGACGAGGAGGAATCCACGGCTTTGAGCGCCTTTGGCAACACCCAAAACAAGGTCACCGCCGACAAGGACGACTCAGACTCGACCACGCGCCGCAAGTCTGCCACCATCTCCTTCCATTGCGATACCGAGCAGGTCGGTGGAGCTGCGCATATCTCCTTTGTCGGCTCAGACCCCGATGACTGCGCGTACTTCTTCGAGGCCCGTTCCCAGCATGCGTGCCCCAGAGCCGAACCTCACCAGCCCGGTAGCGTTGGTCCCGGCAGTGTGTTTGCCATCATATTTGTCATTGCCGTACTCGTCTACTTTGGAGGTGGCGTGTTCTACCAAAGGACTGTCGCGCATGCGCGCGGTTGGCGACAGCTTCCCAACTACAGCCTCTGGGCTGGCATTTGGGGCTTTGTCAGTGTACGTAGTATTCGCGACTCTTTTTCTCAGAATCGATTCTGACATGATTTGCAGGACATGTTCATTATCGCGACCTCTTCTTGTGCACAGCTACTTCCCGGGAGACGAGGATACAGCCATCTGTCTGGGTCACCGAGCAGAGGCCGCAATCGTGAAGATGAGAACCGACTGATAGACCAGCTGGATGAGGAGTGGGACGATTGAGTTCGCTTGGCGTGGGGTGTATCATAAGCATTTGAGCATCAACTTACCTTTGATTTACAGATTGCGATTGCGTGTTGGAGCTGCGGGATTGTTTTGAGGTGATGTAAGTGAGTCGCAGGCAACCACCCTAGATACCCCGTGAGAAGAATGCATAGACGATTCATGATGTTCGTGCAAGTTGAGTGCTGTCTGCTCGATACCTATTCTTTGGTGACACCCAGCGCTGGAAACTTTAGGCGGCGCTCGAGTTTGTGCCGCGGAATCACCTCCGGGTGTATTGGAAACCGCGGGGCAAGTGTGGTGCAAAAGCCCGGTCTGGCATTGATGCTACCTTACTCGTACGATCCTCTCGGGGATCGGGCGAGCTTGACAAGGAAATAGCGCAAGAATATCTCCATGGAACCAATGGTGGGACAGTGTGCTCCCGAGATGCGTCTGTGTTCAGGTCCGAGTTGAATTTTGGCTCCCGGAGATTTCAAGACGTTCGTTCGGAGACCGAAACCGGGGCGGAATGATGCCCCGCCACCGCCCCTCTTTTCAGCGTGATGTCACGGCGGGTACAGCCCGCAATGTCGGCGACAACTCTTGCGACTCTCAACTCCGAGTGAATTCTGGATTCCTTCTCACTTTGTTCTCTCCAAAGTCGAATCCTACGATATCGAAAGTGAGACCAAAGCAATCACAATGGCGTCCAACAAGTACACTCTGGCCACGCGCCTCACAGTGAGTTCTCACCTCTGACCCTGAATGTCATCATGATACCATCCATGTTATCCACAGCCCCGTAACTCCGGGCACATAAGCTAACGCAGACCAAAGCTCGCAAATGGCAAGTCCATCCCCCAGATTCAGTTGGGTCTCTACTGCATGTCAGGCCGCGAAGCCACAAAGTCCATCCCATGGGCCCTGACCGCCGGCTACCGCGGCTTCGACTGCGCGCAAATGTACGACAACGAAGCGGAATCAGGTAAAGCGATTGCCGATTTCCTTGCCAGCCCTCAAAACACGCAGGGTCTGAAGCGCGACGACGTGTTTTACACGAGCAAGCTGGCGAGCAGCAGTACCTCGTACGACGCCGTTCGCAAGTCGATCAAGGAGTCTGTTCAGGTTGCTGGGCTGGGGTACATTGATTTGTTTTTGCTGCATAGTCCGTATGGTGGCAAGGAGGCACGTTTGACGAGTTGGAAAGCGATTGAGGATGCGATTGATGCTGGGGAGGTGAAGATGGGTGGTGTCAGCAACTACGGTGCTGCTCATGTGAGTTTGCTCAGACTTTCGAGAGTCCTGCTGGGGCATTGAGTTTGGAAATTCAAGATACGCTGACAAGATTTACAGATTGAAGAGTTGATGGCATCGAAGCCTCGCATCGCACCCGTCATCAACCAGATCGAGGTCCACCCCTTCAACACGCAGACTCGCATCAGAGAGACCTGCGCCAAGCACAACATTGCCATTGAGGCCTACGCGCCGCTGGCCCGCGGCATGCGCATGAAGCACCCCAAGATCCTGGAGCTGGCCAAGAAGTACGGCTGCACTCCTGCGCAGCTGTTTGTTCGGTGAGTTATCATCCCTGTTTTAATATGGTCACAGCATCTGATTAATGCCTCTGTAGCTGGTCTCTGGACCGTGGAATGATTACTCTTCCCAAGAGTGTGCGCCAGGAGCGTCTCATTGAGAATGCGAACGTGGCCGAGTATGAAATCTCTCAGGATGATCTGGCTGCATTGGACGCGCTCGATGAGCACTTGGTGACCGATTGGTATGTTGTCAAATGACTTGATGAAGTGTGTCTAAGAAAGCGAGGCTAACAAAAGGTGATAGGGACCCGACTGAAGCTCCTTAAATAAGGTCACTAGAAAATTGAAATAGAAAAACTCCCAATCCCATGATCCTATGCTAAGTTTAACTGTGACCAATCAACCACTTGCGACATGCAGATAACTCAGCCTCAGCTGAAATGGATGCATACATCACGTGGCTGAGAACTACCTAGGAATCTGGTCGAATTTCCTCACCTTGCCTGCTTTCCCCGCGCCAACCCCTACTCTCGCTACCGTCAACATGCGACTGCTAAACACCACGACGCTCAAGGTCAAGGAGTTTGTGAGCCAAAGACCCAAGTACGCCATTCTTTCCCATACATGGGGCTCGGAAGAGATCATTCTCCAGGATACGGAAGCAGGAGACTGGGCTGCTTCTAGTATCAAAGCTGGATGGAATAAGATCAAGGGCGCTTGTGCGCTCGCTCTGGGTGATGGCTTTGACTGGATCTGGATCGACACATGCTGTATCGACAAGTCTTCGAGCTCTGAGCTATCCGAGGCCATCAACTCCATGTTCCGTTGGTACAGAGAAGCTGAGATCTGCTACGCCTACCTTGAAGATGTGCCTCCATTGAGATACGCCCCGCTTATTGGCTTTCTGAATCTCGCTCCTGACCTGGACTCGAATTATGTTACCTCCATCAAAAAGGATCAGAATGGTTTCCTCAGGAGCCGATGGTTTACACGGGGGTGGACTCTTCAAGAGCTTATTGCACCGCAAAGAGTCGACTTTCATGTTTCAGACTGGTCCTTTCTTGGGACGAGGAGTGATCTTTCGGGTATCATCCACGAACACACCATGATCGACAAAGAGGCTCTCGAGCTAGAAGGCGTAGAAAAGCTGTCAAAGTTCACTGTGTGGAGTAGAATGCAGTGGGCTGCCAGCCGAGAAACAACTCGCGTCGAAGACATGGCTTATTGCCTGTTAGGCATATTTGACGTCAACATGCCGCTTCTATATGGCGAGGGAGACCGTGCGTTCCGCCGCCTCCAAGAAGAGATTCTCAGAACCATTGAAGGCTATAGCTTAATGGCCTGGACGTCATATGATACGTCGCCCCAGCCGCTCAGAATATACTCATCGGCCCTTGCGTCGCATCCGAGAGACTTCGGCACTATGAGAATAGATACGAGCCATGTTTCGGAAGCTGCGATTAAAAGAGATTTTGACAGTGGCATGCAAAGGATCAGTGTGCGAGGATCAACGTGTTCAAGTTTGATCAAGCCAGATAAAGAGTTAATGCTCAGGTGCATTAAGCCTTATCTGAATGGCGTCACTACCGACGTTCATCAACCGCATCTGAGGCCTGATTTCTCTCCGCCTGCGTTATCGCCGCGGGGTATCTCAATTACCATGTTCACGAACAGGGGATTGAACCCACATCCAAACACTTGGCTTGCGTGGACTGATTTGAACATTCATTTACCGAACGGCATATATTGTCTCTGTATCATGCTTTCAGACGAAGATAAGTATACAAATTGCGCGGCTAAGGCGTATCGGCGCGATACAGATCGACTCTATGCGGTCCCCTTTGCGATGCTAGAGATGTTTCAATCGACAACGTTCTATCTCCGGGCAACTCCAGCGTACTACGTCGAATCTCTAGCAGAGTCCTGGAATCTAAAGCCCGAGAAATCCCGGCTGCGATTTGACAGGCGGAATGAGGCTGTGTCTGCGACCGTTCTTACTGCGTACCCCCCTCTGAAAATGGAGATGAAAGGGGATGCGTACGCCTTCCAGACGAAACCGGGGGAGTTTAGAAGAGCAGTCGCATTTATGTGCGATCCAATCTGGGCTTTCGTGATTGAATTAGAGGAGTTGAAAGGGCAACGGCGAGTGTTACAGTTTGCTGTCTTGTATGGAAAGGATTCAAGGCCAGAATCTCAATCTCCAGAGCAAAGGTGGCGCTGTAAAGTCACACCAGCACCCTCAAATGTCGGCGCATCCATCGGGTTTTATTCTTTCATGCGCTATTCTGACAGAACTGCGTCTCTTCAACAGAACTCGATTCGGCAATTCCCATGGGGTGTTGTTGGGGCGGTGGTGAATTGGGACAAAAAGGAAAATCATAGCGTTGTTGATGTAATGATACATCTGGAGAGGCAGCCTGAACAACCGCCTCAGGACTTAATCACCACGATGCGCGCACTGGATTCCAAATCGAAATTGGAGTAATGCATCAGATGCAATATTATCAAACACTTTGGGAGCGATGTTGTTTCTCATGCCAGCCCGCGACGAATGATAGGAATGAGGGTTTCATACTAACACATGGTACGATTTTCTGGTGGAAGACAGTAACACCCTACTTCTTCATTATTTCTCTCAACGCGTCAACCTCGGCCTCCCTTCTCGCGAGCTGCAGCTTCAGTCTGTCACGCTCCTCCTCGACAACTTTGAGAGCAGATTCTAGCTCCGTTATGCGGTCACGGCCTTTTTGACGATATCTTCGAGCTGCGACAGTATTGCGCTGTCTTTTGATAGCATTAGCGTTATCTTCATCGATCGAGTCGAGGTCAGTGGTTGGAGATCCGTTGGCTTTGCGTTTGGTGCCAGATGCGGAGTGACCGCGGCGCTGAGTTGCGGGGGCTGAAGGCTGTGTAAGCAGAGGATCGGAAGTGGTCCTCCTCGAATAAAAGGTCGAGGAGAAGATGGACTCGGGATTATCCAAGGTGATTGGAATGCTTTCCGGTGGGCTTCTATGAGTGGCTGTTTGAGATGATTGGCAGTCTGAGATGGATATCAGTAAGAAGATGGCTAGGTGAATCAACACCACTTGAACGTACCATGCGGTCCTGGTGATTGGGAAGGCTCGATGCTACCAAGCATACCCAGAAAGACATCTCCTCGACCTGTATGCAACGCCCCCAGCGCAGCGATGCTGTCACCCTGACTACTTGCTCGAGGCAACTCATCGGCGTCAAGTTGTGGATCGAGAGGGATTTGGTAGTCTGGAAGCTGAGGTCCATCTACTGAATCTGTCGTGATGCCCTGCCACCCAAACATAGGGCTCATCGCCTGACAAGAATCCCACAAGGTAAGCTCCCCAAGGTGGTTCCGGCTCCTTTGGCTGCTGTTCTCGGTAGAATACGGGTCGAGTCCAGCTGCACGTAGGAAATGTGGATGATTGTAGTGTTGCCATGGAGTCAGATTATTGGGCCTCTCTTTGAATGAGAGGCAGAAGTGTTTGACAAAAGATTGGTTTGACTTACGTCTCGAGACAATCCAGGGAATTCAAGTCTCTCTGTACTATACGATGTTGTCAAGCGACGGCACGTGGAAACGAGTGACGGAGAGATTCAAATCAGAAAGGGAGTTGGTTGGGTGGGGAATCGGTGAGCTAGATTAGGAAGTGTGGATGAGTCGAGATGGCTCATAATGACGGCTCCTACGAGCGGCTCTCAGATTGGTCCGTGTAGTTTGGTGTAGCTTCAGAGATCGAGGCAGGGGACAACATCCCAGTAATTGTACGAAGCCCGTAAACACCAAAACCAATTTTCGCAAACAGTGAACGCGCATTGCGGTACAACACAGATGGCTTTACGGATATCTGCGTGATTGTAGAATTAACATTACGTATATCTTGTTGAGTTTGGTAGTAAAAGTAGACAATGAAATACAGATACTTGGTTGAAGACAGATGCGCGCAACCTTTAGCTGGCTTCGTTGCTGCACCATGCACCCCGCAACCCCGTGCCTAGAGCCGAGATTCTATTGCCCTCATGGAAACCCCTCTGGAGACCAGTCATACCAGCCCATGTCAACCTCATCAATAACACCCCACTGCTCAACGAACTGCTTCTTCTTGTCCTCCAGACCTTCAGTGCAAAGAATCTCAAACACAGTTCTCCAGGCGCTGTTGACCGCACCGATGATCCAAGCGTGGCCCGAACTCAGCGCCTCGCCCGCGAAGTGCATGTGGCCATCAGCAGAAGGCCTCATCAACCACGGCAGCGTGCTGCTGAACTGCCCCGGGCCGAAGATGGCAAAGGCGCCGTTGGAATAAGCCGATCCGTACCAGTCGTAGGCGTGGTATCCCTCAAATTGCGATAGAAGAAACTCGTGAGACACGCCGTTGAGCTCTGCCAGGTTCCTCAGAGTCAAGTCGACCATGACGTCGATGCTCTCTGGCTGATAAGGTGCCTGTTGTTTCTCATTGTGCGGGTTCATGTAGGAGCCCAGTCTGGAGGCATCCTGGCCCCAGACGTAGCTGGCGATCATGGTTCCCGGGGCACCCGGGACATCGACGCCGTAGGAGGGGTAGACACAGCGGCGGATGGGAAGATCGGTGAAGGATTGACCGCCCTTGAAAGGACCGGTGGCGAGGTTTTCCCACCTGCAATGAGCGAGTTAGTTGAAACCCCAAGTTTGATGCTATGGCCGGAAAACAGCTTACCAGCGAGTCTTGAACTTGAATCCAATCTTTGTCGAAGGATCGTAGCTTCAGTACGAAGTTAGCTTGGGCTTAGAAGAAACCCGGCTGAAGTAGAAGGTAAGTGGACTTACTTGAGAGAGCGGATGGCATGGTTTTCGAAATAGTTGAGCTCTAGCTCGGTCATATTGATAGCCTGGAGGGCGCCCAACGGAACAGTTGAGATGACATGAGCGTAGTCGTACTCCTTGGTGCCGTTGACGACAATCTTCAAGGAGCCATTGGCATTCTTCTTAATGTCGGAAACCCTGTTGTGTAGAACGGGCTTGTTCTTCACAATGAGGTTCATGCCCTTGGTCAACATGTCCATACCGCCGTTGATCAGCGACCAGTTGTCAATATCTGCACTGTCAAAAATCCACTGCTCTAGGACGGCTTGAGACATGGAGTACATATCGTAGTGACCTGTGGCATCGTTGATGGTCTCCATCCAGTCGATCTCGGTGTTGGTAAAGCCCTGGTCCAAGAGGAACTCCCGGACCGTCATGGAATCATACTTCATGAGGAGGTTGAAACCTGTGTCAAAATTGGCTGAGAGCGCTGTCGTCATGCTGCTGACTTGAGCCTTCCACACATTGTACGCAGACTGCGTGTTAAAGGTCGAGTTGAATACCGGAACGTCGTACCTAGCAGGGGAGGCAGAGTTCGGGTCTTGGAGAAGAGAGGTGATGCCATTGAATCGTCTGAACGTGTTGTCCGTTCTGAAGATGTAGTGTTTCTTAACAACCTGGTCGCGTTCAGCTACCCTCGCATTGATGTAGGGGATAAGACTCCATGAGTCGTTTCCAATGATGCGGCTCATGTAAGGCATCGGAGGGAAGCGCATGGCGCCGACGTCCTGCAGTGATCATGTTAGCCAGGGAATGGTGCGCTGTATAGCGACAACAACTCACGTAGTAATCATAGTAGGCAGGGTCTACGGGTGTGGACTTGTCCCAAGCCTCTTGATCAAAATGGTAAGTGAAGATTCTCCCGCCAATGCGTCCAGAGACCTCATGAATGTCGTAGTCAATTCCGAGGGAGTCAAGTAGAATGGCAGCGTAGAGTCCGGCAGCTCCACCGCCAATGATGCCGACCTTTAGGGGAACATCCTTCGGCGTCGGTACTCTACTATGGTTGCTATAGTTTGACTCATCCACGACCTTGCGGAAGAAAGCTGCGCGCGGATTCTTGGCAGCAAGCTCGCCGTCGTTGCAGATGTTTCTCTCTTCGAGCTGGACTGACTTGGATTCCGGGGCGGGTAAAGCGAATGACTGTGCCAACAAAAGGGCGGTAACGAGCGTACGTGTGCTGAAGAGCGACATTGTTCGGGCGGTAAAGACTGTATGATAGCCGGCGCGGCTGATAGACGTGGATCTGGCCTCTGCCTTGCACACAAGTGACTACGTTATTGATGGCGGCATCAACATCTCCATTTATAGCGATGGTCGTTAACCGGCATCTTGGCTGCATTGTTTACACTTCACAACATGGACCTGCATTTCGACCATGTCTACAGAATGCCAACTTCGCTCCCCAGGGTCTTGGGCCATCCAGGGCTTGCATATCTTGAACTCAGGTCTTACTGAGTTCCAGCCCACATTCCTCGTTTCTTCTCCTAAATCTCGACACGTGGTTTGGACCCCTCTGCTCTGGAATGCGGCCCAGGCCCAAGACGGTCTCCGCAAACACGCAATTCTTCCGAGCTGCTGGAGGTGCACGGCATGGGCTTCATTTCCTAGCATACCTCTGAGCAGTTGAGCTGAGAGGGCTGAGCATCACATATCTTTCGCAGCCACGTCAAATCTCTTCCCTTCAGTGGGAGTGTCAGAAAGGGTATAGGGGCGCAGGTTTGATCCGGGTAGGTGGAATATGAAGCATGGAGCAGGAATAACCTTCGAAGTCAGTCTGGATATGTATTAGTTTTTGGTGGGAAAAAAGCCCCTTGTTTCTCAGACAACGGAACCGCCTGACGTTGAACCCCATGCAATTTTGAAAGGCAGCTCAGAGAGTGAAAACATGTTTCCATCGGCGACAAAGTCCCCTTCTTAGTCTTCAGTAGAAATCTTGTTCTTTGAGTTAGGGATAGGAAATCAGAACACTGCTTTTGCGCCAGGTGGCTTTATAATCATTTTCGGATATAATGGCTCAGTAAAAAGACCGGTGGGATGCTGTCGCTGTATGTTTTGTGCACGGGTTGTGTAGGTACCCAGACTTCGTTCAGGGTAGCTTGCTGTTCTCTGATGTGTAATATGGACTCGTTACGAATGCAGATCGTTTCTGCTAGAAGCTCTCAATTGTATTTTGCACATGTGTCCAAAAAGACTACCAGCATTGTTCCGGTGTGGGATCGGTGAAGCGACTTGTTCAAACTTCAATTGCTAGTCAAAATATCCGTGTCCGCCTTTGTCCCGGCCCGTGCGTCCGCCTTTGAAATACCATGCTGCTATTGCCCGATAAACTTAGCGGCAAACCCAAGACATTTAGCTGCCGAGAGGAGGGTACCGTGCCGAGTCTAAATGGATCGCCTCATCACTCGGCAGCCGGAACCTTCTTTATTAGTGTTGCACACAAAGCCACCACTGTTCTTCGGAAGCAAAATGAGTCCGGAAGCACTTTGTTACCGAGAAGACGCGGTGGGAGCGCCGGGACATAGGGGGGCCAGGTCGGCGCCTTAGCAATGCCCGCTCGCCGGGAGGGGGCCGTTACACCAGACGGCAGAGATGCTGATTGATAATACTGAGTGCGAAACCGTGGTGGATCTTGCGTGATGCATACACAATCGTGCGAGATCTCCAGTTATTGCGCGATAGCTCGGTGGAGGCGGGGTGAAGCTTGGAGACAGCTGTCCACCAGCAAAGCATATAAGCAGGTTGCGCCCAACCTCCAAGTATAAAGGTGGAATTGAAGTCACTCGCAGCTAATAAGATAACAACCCGTAAAACAACTCTCAACTCTCCAATTCTTAAACTCCAAACTCCAACACAGTCTTCAACCAAGTCCAATAGTCTCAACATGTCTATCGTTAAGAAGGTCGCTGTTGTCGGAGTAAGTTCACCTATCATGTCACTTAACGTTCCGACACTAATTCCACTAGGGTTCCGGAAACCTTGGCCCCAGCATCGTCCGTGGCCTCATTGACGCCGGGTTTGAAGTCACAGCAGTCTCGAGAAAGGAGTCCAGCGCAACATTCCCCTCCGAGGCCACTGTTAAGAAGATCGATCTCTCCTCAGTCGAAGCTGTCACAGAAGTTTTCAAGGGCCAGGACGCCGTCGTGTCTGTCGTCGGAAATGCTGGATTCGGAAGTCAAAAGACACTCGCTGACGCTGCTGTTGCCGCTCAAGTTAAGCGTTTCATCCCATCAGAATTCGGAATCAACACTCGCAAGGCCCGCGGCTCTAAGATTGGCGGCATCTTGACTCCCAAGATTGAGTTTGTTGACTATTTGATTGAGCTCTCTGAGAAGAACAGCTCATTCACGTGGACTGGTATCGCCACTGGGCCCTTCTTCGATTGGGTAAGCTAATAATCACCTTCTCCCATCTTTACATGTAGTCAGCGTGCTGATCGAGCATAGGACTTTAGCGGTGGCCTTCTGGGCTTCGATATCAAGAACAAGGCTATCAGAATCTTTGACTCTGGAAACGAGCCTGTTTCGCCATCATCTCTTCCCTTTATTGGAAAGTCCGTTGCTGGCGTGCTCAAGAACACCGAGGCGACAGCCAACAAGTACATTGACGTTGCTTCATTCACGACTACTCAACGCGAATTGCTCAAGGTTGTTGAGGAGCTGACTGGCTCTACTTTCACCGTCAGCAACGTCAAGACTGCCGATCTGGAGAAGATTGCGGATGAGAAGCTGTCCAAGGGTGACTTCAGCGCCTTTATCGACTTGTTGCAGCAGTACAGCTTTGCTGATGGCAACGATAATGCCACAAAGGACAATGCGGCGGTTAAGTTGTTGGGTCTGCAGGAGGAAGACCTCAAGTCTGAGACCAAGAAGGCTCTGTCCGCGTGGAAGTAGAGATTTATGAATAACGAAAATAAGCGAAAATAAGCAGATGCTAATACAATAGAGGCTATCGCCTCATCAAATTAACTTGTCTTGCTCGTGCCAATTACGCCGTCGCGGAAGTTTGATCATTAAGTTTGAGGCATGAATATCTCGATGGCAGGAATAACAAGAGGCCATATGTCGAGCGCCGCGTCGCCGTAGGAACTAATCTTTAACATCCGGTCTAGGGAACATCATAGTACTTAGTAGGCACAAAAGAACTTAGAAAAGCCTGAGACGCTGAGGAAAGTTCAACTGACATAGATGAGCAAAGTCTGAGACCGCCCATACGTCCCACATGCCATTCCTTATGTCCTTTCGTCTGATGGCAATGCAGCCGAAGCCGCAGATAAACTCAATCAAGTTGAGCTATGCCTTCGCCACCCCAATCGTTCGCTGACCAAACGGCGCTTCCTTTTCGGGAAGTGCTCATTCCAGGCTCCGTCTAAACTCTGTTTTGTGCACAGATTCATGATTCCTCAACTTTGTCTTGCGTCCACAAGAGATATGCTGGCGTGCATCATCGAGTTCGCTTGCTCCACAAATTCTTCAACGTCATGCTTGCGATGGTGCTTTAGTTCCTCGGTATCCCACTTGCACTGATGAGCTCGTAAACTCGCCCAGTCCTATATCATCACCGACAACATCTTATGATCATGCCTATAGAGATTCGAACTGCGCTCGAGAGCGACCTCAAGCGATGCGCAGAGGTCGGGCACGTAGCTTTTGGCAAAAGCCCTTTCACTAAAATTATGTTTCCCGGTCACGTCCCGAAAGATGGGTTCTTAGGGCTTCGTACCACCGACTTGATCATGCAGCTTCGAGACGACCCGACCGTTCGAATGTTCGTGGCAGTAGACACGGAGCGAAGAGGTGATTGCGCAATCGTTGGGTTTGCCAAATGGCATGTCTACGAACATGGCATGCCTTTGAGCACAGGGAAACTGCATTCTTGGGGCAAAAGTTGCAATGAGGAGGCTTGCAGCTTGGTGTTTGGAGGCGTGGGCTTAATGAGAGACCGTCTAATGGCCTACAAGCCGTGCGTTTGTGAGTCGTCTTTCCATATCGTCAAGTCTGAAAAGGACTAGCTTCCCTAATGCTAAGTGATGGCAGACCTTCATATCTTAGTGACAGAACCCCTGTATCAACACCGCGGCGTGGGGCAATATCTCCTGGCCTTCGGGATCCAGGAATCACTCCGATTAGAAGTTCCGATATATCTTGAGGCAACAGAGGCTGGCCACTCTCTTTACCAAAAAGTCGGCTTTGATGATATCGAAGTACACCGCGCTGACTTGACCAAATTTGGGGAGCATCGTCCTCATATGATCTGGGGAATGATCCGAGAACCATACTCCTGGTTTCCATGAATCACTTGCACATTTGAAAGTCCACTCAATCTGCTTTAAGAAAGAAGTAACGGAGAGTGTGTGGAATGAAATGAAATCTATTGCAAACAACCATCTATGTTAAAACGCCATGCTATGCTACCATTTTCCTATCCCGCCATGCAATGCTCCATGATCAACAACGGCGAATCCGAATGTTACTGTTCGCTTAAGAAGTGTAACCGGCAGCACGGTCAGCGGCAGTAGCCTGCGCCATCTTTTCTGTTCCTACAGAAACAGTGGGGATCCAGCCTTGAGGGTTCACATCGGTGCCAGTGGTAGCGATGCTGTCACCGGTAGAGTTGACACCGATGGTGATATAGCCAACGAGACCGTCCTCAACGGTGTCTCCAAGAAGAGAGACGCTGATGAAGGGGCTATAGCCGTCCTCGCTAGCGCTGGACAGGACAGAGTCCTCGGCATTGGTGGTGCGGTTCAAGGTCTCGAGGTGGGCGGAGTAGGGGCTAACGGCGTAGACCTGGGAAAGGAGGTCTTCCTCGAAGAAGAGCTGTCCGACGTGCTGAAGTGCGCTCTGGCTGAAACCAACACCATCGGAGGCGTTGGCTTGAACAGCCACGTGGATGTGGGTAGAGCGAGAAGTGTAGTAGCCGGGAAACTTGGTAAGAAATTCGATCATACCAGCCTCATCGGAGACCTGAATGCCGCGGAGGAAAGTCTCATCGTCGGTAGTGCCATCAGATCGCTTGCTCCAGCCATCAAGCAACTCAGAGGTGTCGGGGTCAATGCCAGTGAAGGAAGCATATGAGCCTGTCGCATTGCAGGCCCAGATAGAGGCCGAGGCACCCTCGAGCGGCTCGCAGGTCTCGACATCAATGATTCCGATGTCGAGATAGAAATCAATGCCGGACTGAGTTTCGCGGAG